ATTGATTCCATGTGGACTGAGATGTTTATTAAGCCACGGAATTTGCCGTGCAAGACTATGGATCGTGAGTTGCATCTGGTTTTCTGGGTTTTGGAGTGTTACTGATGCAGGTCCTTGCAGAGGTTGGCTTGGATACCGTTGCCTTTATTGAAGGTCATTATGTTCAGGAGCGTGGACTCTCGCCAGAGAAGACCGTTGACTTCCTGAAGCAGAACTATTTGGATAACGGCAAGCTGGGTAATAAGTCTTCTAAGGGCGGTCTTTACCCTCCCACTGAAGACAAGAAAGCTCCTGTCAACGACAAGTCGACGGCGCCGGAATTATTGGTTTTGGACATCGGACTCTCCGCCGCCAACCCTACCACCACGTCGGGCGAGGTACTGAAACTGTCATCAGATGGAAAGATCCAGCAAGTTCTTGCACCAAATCAGTCTCTGCCTGATGGCATTGCCGTGGACACTACAACTGGTCGAATGTTCTGGACTTGCATGGGTGTACCCGGAAAGGATGACGGTGCAGTCTATTCCGCCAATCTGGACGGCAGTGGCATCCAGACCGTGGTCCCTCAAGGCAGAGTCAATACACCGAAACAATTAACGATCGATGCCGAGGCGCAGAAGGTTTACTTCTGTGACCGTGAAGGATGCCGTGTCTGGCGCTGTGGCTATGATGGCTCTGATCTCGAGGCTGTGATCGACAGAAGTACCTTGAAGGATGCGAAAGCCGATGCAGTTTCCGACTGGTGCGTTGGTATTACTGTAGCCCCCGGCCTGGGCAAGTTTTACTGGACACAGAAGGGACCTTCAAAGGGTGGCAAGGGCCGCATCTTCTGTGCTAATATCACCACCCCTGAGGGACAATCGGGAGCCTCAAGGGACGATATTCAGCTAGTGCTGGGTGACCTTCCGGAGCCGATTGACCTCGAGCTAGATGAACAATCAAACACGCTCTACTGGACGGACCGCGGTGAGGTCCCACTTGGTAACGCGCTGTTCAAAGCACAGCTGGATGAGTCTGGTCTTCCGGTACCGATCAAATCAGATAAGAAGTACGAAATGTTGACAAAGCATTTGAAGGAAGCGATTGGCCTGAAGCTGGACCTCAGTAACGGTCACATCTATCTTACTGACCTCGGCGGCAACATTTATCGCTGCAACTTGGATGGAAGTCATAAGGAGAAGATCCATTCCGACGACTACCGGGCTTTTACGGGAATTGCCCTTCTGTGATTATCTAGAGTTCGTCCTTGTCTGTATATAGAACTTAGAGATTTGTCTTGGGAATAGATTTGCGCTTATCTAATTTGAACAATCATTGTTGAGATTAGAATGACCATTATAGAATGTATGATAGACGACAGCTTCGTCTTGCAACCTGATTCTAACTACATCCAATTGAACGTCTCCCAGAAATTAGAGGTAGACGCTTCATTCATGAGTGCTTCAATGACATCGTCGCTGATCACCATGGACGCGGCCGGATCATCTAGAGGGGCATCTTGCGGGATAGGGTACTCAGGGGCTGATGTCTCTGGCTTAGACGGTTGAGCCATATAATCAGGGAAGACTTGGCGTATAGCTCCGAGAAAGATGCCTCGAAATATGGAGGCAGATGGGTAGGTGTGCTGCATCTGCTCCAAGACCATCATACACAGCTCCAGCTTGTTGAGGGCCAACCGCCGAATAAAACCATCAGACGACTTGCAATTGAGAAGGTGCACTTGCATAGCTGGTACGAGCAATGGAGGTCTATGGCAATCAGAGGGATTTTTATTAGCAGAAGGAAGAGAGGCGAGGAACGTACGTCATCGGACCCCCGAATTCTAGAAGCTTTTCCCGAGCTAGGTTATCAACAATAGAATTTGTTTGTAAGGCAGCGGTGTCCATTTTGTTTCGTATTTGACTTTGCCACGCCTGTTGTTGAGCCGCCGGTAGCCCTTCTGGTACCTTAGTGACAAAAGGGCGGTAGAATGTAATGAGTAAAGCTCTGTCATGATCAGCATCTCGCTCGGATGTGTAGATAAAAATAATACGAACTGGTAGTGTAACTGCAGATGATACGCATAAAAGGTTGCTAGACGACTTCGGTCTGTGGTGGGATTGCCCGGAAATTGAAATAATAGGATTTCTGCCTCGATTGCTTCCACCTGCTGAAGCGATGGGTAAGGCCCAAATGGTCGGTAGCTTAGGCTGAGGACGTCACCTAGAAGCTTACTCAAATGAATCATCGTCACCCAGCAGTCTGCCAATCGTGGCAAATCGGCCGGTATGTAAGCACTAGTCACTGCTTCAGGTAGTCCGGTCATGTCGCTTAGCATGTCGACAGAAGATGGCATTACTGTATCGCAGTCACGCAGGTCGATTCTGAGGGGTCTCCCCATTGTAAGACTTAGCCAACGATCTCGAAAGAAACAACTCCACCAAAGACGACGCCACAGACACTGCTGCCTTTCGGGTATTGAGGAATTCGACCAGGCTGAAGATGGACAGCGATGCAAACCCATGATCTGGCAAAGACTGATTGCCGTACCAGTCCAATACCATGGTTTCATATGCAGATCTACTTCGGAGTGATAGAATCCCAAGAGAAGAGCTGATTGCAATAGAACAGTGTTGTCAGTTCCGTCACTGTTATGATGCATACACTGGAGGTTAACCAGCCAGTTAGCCAAGCCGATAATTATGTACTCAATGTAGGTTCAAGCCACAGAATACGTACTTTGGCACGAGAATACATATCGTATTTCATTGCCTTTCTCGATGAGTAGCCCTCCTGTTTCCACGTATCGGTAGATATATACTACAATCAATATTAATAGAAGGAATTGCTGAGAAAGGGGAGCTTGACATACATTTGCTGCAACAAAGAACATGCTCCATAGCAACAGGAGGTTACATTGATTACTTTCCCCACTAGGATAAGAGCTGAGCACTGATGTCACATCAACGACTGGTAAGATAGGATGCACGTGATGGAAATATGCGCGGAGAAGCTCGTCGCACGTATCACTCCGAGGCAGGTTAAAGACGCCCTTATACTGAAGGTATTCGCGGTCCTCAGCAGACAGCGGAGTCGACCTCTTAGGCTGAAGCAAAATATGCCGTTGGACAGGTTGCTGTGGTGGCGAGCATAAGTCAAGTACACTCCCGAAGCCCGGAGACTCGCCTAGCCAAAAAGTCAGTTATATCAACATTAAGGGTATCTTAGGACTTGGGACACAGACCAGTATAAAACGGCGCCTGGCCCGCTCTCCTGTTTCTTCCTAGGGCCGTAGTTGCAATCTCTGCCCCAGTACGCTCCTCATCGAGGCTTCTGTTCTCTTCTGGAGACGTATTGATATTATTGCCACCTCCCACTGACTTTGGACGTTCTATTTGTGGGGTAATCGGTGCAATGGTGAACGCATCTGCTGGAGCAGAAGGCCGGGGCGGCATCGACCTGCGGGACTCCTCTGCAATCCGAGGGCTGTTCTCCGGACCATTTTGCCGTATATGAGGTACAACTTGACGGATCCGAGGTCTATTCACATTCAGCTCTGGGTATTCTAGGCATATTATGGCGTTCAGGGCTTACGTTGTTTGCGCTTTTGCTTGCGGAATAATACATTCAGTACCGTCTTGCGTGCAACCAATACACGGTACGCCAGTAACTGTAAAGCTGCAGCGCACTTTACGCTGGCGGCAGTGTTGGCATGCAACTGCAGATCGATGGCGACGTGCCGACATGGCGGATCGGTTATCTTTGCATATGAACTGGGGTTGCCGAGAGTCTGGGGAAGAGCGTCTATTTCGTACGGAGTACCTCGGAATTGTTCTCATGGAATATTCCGGGCTGTGATATACCCATCTCCGATTGGTGGATGAGGACTTCGTGCCCCACATCCTCATTCACCCCACCATGCCCTAAGTTATATAGTACGCATCCAATGCTTTGGAAGATCTTTGCGATACCACTTGGTATGCCGTGCTTATCAATTCCCTGGATTTTAGATACTTGGCATTCGAGGTATCTCAGAAGACAGTTATCATGTAATCCTGCACATGTATCACTAAGGGGGCGATCTATAGGACTTTACGCTGCCTAATCATTTCTTCATGAATCAAGGGCTGTGATTCCAAACGTGGACAAGTAGGAAAGCAAACCGACAATCTCGTGGCACTTTTCTGCGCTCAGGTCCTTTGGATGTGTCACACCAATGGCCTGGCCTATTACGTGCACGTTGCAGTGGCTTGGTCTCAGCTGGGTAACAGCCTTGCCCAGCCTTAGGAATCTGCTTACCACAGGTTTGGTTTGTCTCTCTACTATGGAGTGAGACATGTTGCGACAGAATGTAGTACCAGGTAAGCAATGCTTTTCTGTCTCGATCGCCAGTTGATGTCCAGCATCGCATAGCATGCACTACTAGCGTGGGGAGGACAGCATAGTCAGTCATATCAGTGGCGGTTCCGAACACCCACCGCCTTCTGCCGGTGGGTGTTCGGAACCGCCACTGATATATGCTATTCTTCGTGAGTCATTGAAGCGCTACTTCGTTTTGTACACAGACTACAAGTGTCAAGCTGACGGTTACTTCTTCAGGTGAGATTGTCGTCGTCGTAGAAATGACATCGCTCCAACGTTTCACAAAGGCAAAGACGGGATTACCACCCACATTCATTCTATTTGATTTTTCTTCAGTTATCCCAGGGTGATGAATGTTAATTCAAGTCGTGGGTGGTGTCATAGATGAAGTATTAATACTATGTCTTTCAGCGGAAAGGTAGAAATAGTTAAGTTGGAATGATCGGGAAAGCCAGTTGTTGATATGAAGGAGGTATGGTGCGTATAAACTCTAGTTTGTATCGGATATACATGGCATGTCTATGCCTTTGGTTGGTACGATATCAGTCATCATCCATTTTCTATAGGTCCATCTCTCAAGCTGAGAGACCAGAGGTTTCCCTTTGAATGTCTTGTACACTAGGTCCCTTGTATATACATGGCCATTGGAAATATTGTACTCATCTTCTATACACAGTAAACTCAAGGATCAAGAAAGCCACATACATCACCAGGAACAGAGCGCCTACAGCACGACTTGCGCGGACAAAGACAGCCAGAAAGAGCATCACGGATGATATCCAGGTAGAAAAGAGTTCGAAGAGCAGGACACGGTCTCTTTTGTCCGCTGAGAGTCCTGCAAGAGCAATAACCCCGGCACACAGAGTCAGAAGGAAAATATTGCTTCCTGCTGTGCTGGCTACCACAATGCCACTGTGTCCACGAGAGCCGCTGATAATGGCAACCATTTTTTCCGGTAACGTAGTAGCGAATGACACCACTGTGAGGCCAACGACAGTTCCAGAGAGGTGAAAACAATCTGCAATTACCGACGCACTGCGTGACAAAAGATAACCAGAGATGGTGAGCGCTAACAGGCCCATGATGAGTTGGGAGATATGATAGAAAAGTGAGCGTGGAGCGCGCTTCCTAGAGTCAAGGATCTCCTCGTTTGTGAGAAGAGGAGATGTTTCTGACTCATCCTGCACTATATTACCTTGCGGCCTGGATGGGAGATACGAATGCTCATCGTCGTTAGTATCATTGTCGCTGTCGCTGTCAGAAGCTTCTGGAGGTTCCATCACTCCTTTATGAATTGCATAGCAAGTACATATCGTATACATTAGAAAGATCGCCATTAGTACGCCACCAGTGATTTTGTTCAACATGTTGAAGTAAGCCAGGATGGAGAAAGCGGTTGTGATTGATAGAAGCAACGCCGTATATACCTTGGCACTCCGGTCGAAATCTATCGGCCCAGGGTGGAGTAAGAGGCCAAGGGAAAAGGCGCCTAGGATATTCGAAATGGTGGAGCCCATCACATTCCCTATTGCAAGTGGCGATTGCTTTTGCAGGACCGCCGCAATGACGACGGCAAGCTGTAATCAATACAGTATTAGGGTCATGGGAACAAGAGCACATCATACCGTATGCATATATAAGTACATACCTCCTCATATTCAGCACCCGCAGTCAGTACAGCAATAAGGGTCTGGGAAACTCCCAGACGCTGACCGATAATAACGGTGTGGTCAATGAACTTATCAGCGCCGTAATCTAGCATGAGTACCCCGGCAGCAAATACCGCTGCATTGAAGAGTAATCTATCCCAGTTCATGGCGCGTGCAGACTATTCCGTTGTCTGTCGTCGATGTTGAGGGATTACGATGTGGGTTATTAGAGATTTGTCTGGTTGAATTCCGTAGAAGGAAAGGATCTGATGTAGGAAGGAAAAGGTTCTGACTCAGCATCGCGAGAGTGATGATCAAGATTGCAGCTTCGGTGAGACACACTCTCCCTGTTTATGAAGAATAAATATACCCTATGCTTATAGCTTGCTGCTTGGTACCGTTGAGTTACAAGATTCGATTGTATCGACCGATACATGACGGCGAAGGCCAACTATCCACATAGTGGTTGTCCCTCTTCACGTCAAAGGGTCCTAGCAGCCGATCGTAACCACAGTTACCAATCCATGCCATCTGCTACTCCATCCTACTAAAAGCCTTCTCTCTGTTCAATACATTCTCCCTGCTCTATCCCTTCGCCACGCTCAAAGCCAGACCCGACATGCGTATGTGCAGGCTGCCAATCGAACATCCAGAACCCGAAGCAAAACACAGCTACTGCCTATACTCTTGGTGCTCGTGCTCTGTACTAGATGTTTGAGGTCATGACAATCTGCATGGGTTCCTGCGGGGCTGGTATGATATCCTCTTCAGAAGGGCCTTTAGTCATGTTAGTTTGTGGTACTCGAAATGTAGAAGATGGAGATCATACATTGTACCGTGAGCACAATCCTCTTACTTTGTGCCCACGACCTAAACTCGCATGGGTAGGGCATCTTCGAGTTGATCCTTTCTTCTAAATAATCGTACTGCCCCCTGGGGGAGACGGCTTCCTGACCCGTTCCGACAGATTCAGGCAGCAAATTGACCATAGCCTCTGTCATTCTAGTCAACCCCACAGTGGCTCTATGCTCATCAACAGTGAACCCCATATCATAGAGGTTGTTCGCGCTTGATATTACCCGGTCGTATAATATGACCTTGGACTCCTTGCCCTGCATCGAATCTGTCGTTGCTACTTTGGGTATACTCGTCTTATCCAGAAGGCCATATTGTTTTATCCGAAACAATGAATGACGGATACGGGCAGCCTGGGCTTGGTAAAGGGTCACGATAGTAATATCGCTGGCGGGGTATCCACTGTGCTTTTTGTTCGCTATGAGGAGGCGAAGAATATGCAGGCGATGAGCATCATTGTGTCGTGACTTTGACGCATCATCAACAATACAGCTTGAGCCTTCAACACTCACAACGATATTACCCAGGTCTATATTCTCTCTCTCTTCAAGGCTGTATACCTCTCTCATGGTGTTTGGAAAGCGAGTATTGACAGTGATCGCATTGGTAGATTCATGGCTTTGCAACATCTGCCCATACGTTCTCCAATTTGGCCACGAAGCGAATACATACAGGGCGGTAACGGAACTGTTCCGTGAGCCTGATCGCCGGATGTTTCATCCTCATGAGGCGTGAGGGGTGCGACAGAGATATTTGTTCAGCGAACTCATTGTATCTAACTTCATTCTGCAATGAGATCACTGTTGGTTTGAGCTGCTTCTCATCACTACAACTGATGACTCCGCAAACTCGATCTCTGTGGAGTAGCTTTGTCAGGGGTACCCACGCGTTGGTTTCGCACTCCTTAGTGTCCTCATCTCGGATGACAGTGATCCCCTGCGCGTTCACGCCAAAATTGGAAGCAATCATACCGTCACCGACATTGTTATTCGTGGACACAGGTATTTGTAAGTTTCGAATCACCATTTGGGAGACCTTTTTGAAAGCTAGAAGTGCCTTACTTCTGTCTTCAGTCGAAAAATCATGGAATGACGTGGCTTGTAAAAGCTCAATATAACAACGAACCTCGGCGAGCATGTCAACTTAGTCATATCCAGAAGTATCATCCATATGTGTAGCCTCAGGGCCGCCATCCCATTCTGAGGATAGTGACATTGTGCGAGCTCTGGTAAGAACGTCAGTGAAAAGTATTTTCGCCCTACACTGTTTCACAACAGATGTCGAGATATGTGGTAGTTCCCATCCAAGAATCCCACATGGAAAAACAAGATAAACATGGAACAAGAAGGTAGACTTACTAAAGCCAACTCCCTTGGCTGGAGAAACAAGAGACACAGTAAAAATAACTAGAGTTTCCATCGTGTCAAAGTCAGCTTCTGATGAGGTCTTCAAGACAAACACTACTTTCAACTGGAAGAAAACTAATACCCGACTAAATCCAAGGTACGATTTCTATACATTCGGTGACACAGATCTCATGTGTTGGGAAAGGGCAGTCATGAAAAGTGGACAGCAAGAAACGCGCGCGCAATAACCGTGACTAGACGTTGAAGATGGAATAATGAAAATGGGATGAGAAAGGGAAAAGAAGAAGAGAGAAGAAGGAAGAAGAAAAAAGGAAGAAGGGAGGTGAAGAGAGAGGGGAGCGCTCGGCAGTTAATTGAGCTACTGAGTAACAGAATCTTGATTTCAGGCAGGGGAAAATATAGGTAACAAAGAGTTTTCACGGAAGTTATTAGTGAATAAGAACTGCTGCCAGTCAGGAGTTGGTTGGGGACCATTCATCAAGTACTCGCAGTTTCTAGTGAATTGATGGCAATGAGGCACATACCCCGTCCTGGTAGGAGGGTAGCCAGTAATCCAATGTAGACTGATCGTCCAATTACAACGGTATTTGGCGATGATCAAGTAGGTAGGTGGCTAAAATTCTATACTCAGTGTACTTGTAGAGTAATCAATGTAGGGGCATCGCGGCGCCACAACGCAACCGGTCATAGTACATACCTGGATAAACTTTGATGTTCGTTGCGGGAGAGTAATGAACCATTCCGCGAGAAAGCACAAGGTTCAGGGGTGATAGGCGTGTACTAAAGAGATGTGTGTGTGCTTGCAGCATGGATAGCGCTGGCCATCTTGCTCAATGAGCTTTTGCAAAAGCATATTATCATTATTCGAGTCCTCATAGTCCTATAGCACTTGGGACAATCACACGTAGGTTAAGCCCACTATGAGTACTTATAGTGGTCGAAATTGGTAAAGGGTTAGTCTACAGAACAAACAGTATACTAGGACAATTTCTGAAGATTTTCTCTCAATAGCTTCCCCAACAACGCACAGTCCTTCTCACCCAGATCAGCCAATTTGATGGCCTTCTCTGCCCATCGCTGGCAATCGTCGCTTTCAGAAAGCAAATAAAGATCCACCGCTCGATTAAATGACATTGTTGCCATCCACTGAATTTCATCGCTTGGGTAGTGCATGGTCGTACCGTAGAGGTCACAAGCTGAGGCCAAAGCCTGATCAAGGGCCGACTCAGCGAGGCAGTATTCTGATGCGTCTAAAGAGAGTTGGAAGAAGGTATGGATGTAGCGGGGAAGAACGCCCCGGGCTGTTGCGCCATCTAGGTACGGAGACGTGGAGGTGCGGAGGGACAAGTACTATTTTCTTAAGATGGAATATCCCGTTAGCCCATGTTAGTAGTATCATAGCTGATAGAGTATTGAGTATTTTAATGAATACCTCAACAGACTTAACAATATATGTTGCCGAAGCTCCACAACGGAGGATGCAATCTAAAAATATAGAACCGAGTTTCTCGTCGATTATGCTCTTGGACTCATCAATTATGGAAGGCACATGATCCCATTGGTTGAAGAATATCGCGCATTCGAGGTCAATTGACAAAATTTTCCGATAGTTTTGGAGCCATTTACTATGTTGGTCAGTTGTATTATCAATTTGTGGTCGGCTCCAAATGTAAGTTCGGTAGTGCTGAGCAAAATTTCGGACATTTTCATAGTGTTGTCGCTGCTTTCCGTTAACCTCTAATATAATGCTTGGTCAATAGGATCAAACAAGCCTTCCAAAAGGGCACCATCTCCTTGCGAGCCTCTGTTATGATTCTAAAGATCTTGATACTGTCGCAGTGCAGATAGTGTTGCCTAAGACCCGACTGCTTCTCAGAAGTCATGGTCTTCCTTTGCAAGTCTGTGAACTGGGAATCCAACGTCAGCAATCCACAATGGCATAGACAGATAATAACATACTTGCATGGACAGATCCAGTAACCGTATCACTAGCCTGGAATCGCACGAGCGTGCTTGAACAGCGATGTTATAGCTCCTCTGCGAAAGCCACTCAAGTTCAATGGCCGAAAACACAGTATTTTGTTCACTTTTGTGTGCTGTTTCCGTGTTTGAATACGTAGCATTAAGTACTGTGGCTGTCTGATCCATGACGTACCTGCTTCAAGTACACGTATAACCTGAGCTAAAAGCCCATCATTCTCTTCCACCGTTCCCGTGTTTCCTATTCGTGCCGAGACCAGACAACCTGCAGCTATAAAGAGGCTTGCAATATACTTTCCTTCCAGGAAGCTGTTATGTAGATTATCTACTACATGCTGGACACATTTGGCTGCCAGCAAGGTTTGCCCAGATCGAAGGGCTTCTGCTGCACATGGCAAGAGGTATGTTCTGCCAGTTGCACCCAGCTGAAAGAGCGAATCGAGATAAAAGTGCCCTTGCCATAGTTAGACCATGTATGTACAGAGAATGTCCACTCCCCACCCTGAGTAAAGTCTTTGTTACTTAATGCCGCCTTATAAATCAAGTATAGCGCTGAAGGGCATTTCCTATACTCATCTGCCATATTGTCAAGTAGCTTGTACGCCGCGCACACATTTAGATTATCCGATGCACATTCTATATATCTTCTACTTCTTGTTAGAGTGCGGATAAGCCATATGAACTATAACTCACTTGATGAATATCGTTTTATTTTCTGAAGAAAGTTGAAACATGACTTCTTCGAGTACGACGGAGCACCAGTGTTCTGCAACGCGGAGATTGCCTTCGGATGATACTACATCGACGTATTTCCATATGAGCTATAACTCGTGTCAGTAGATTGGGCCCCATAGCACATGGGGTCATTACAATCAGGCAAGCATTTGTAGCGTCCTCGCTCAAGAGGGCTCGACCACATTTGGATATTCTTTTCATTGTATCACGCAAAATACTGCTACTGTTCGGCATGGGGAGGCGACTATTTGTCAACGTCCAGACCAAGTGGATGAAGATTCGTTCAGTCCACTCTTGCTGATTGGATGTAGCAAGCTTTTCAGCTAGAAGCTGCTGCAATCCTTGCACATAAAAACTGGTCCTGCTTTCTATCAGTATATAGCCTCATATATTAGTGTTTACTCACTCGTGATCTCGAACTTTCTGGAGGTAAAACACTAGTCTGTGCCTTTGTTAGACAGTTTTATGCCATAAGCCACGGTGTGTCACATACGTTTTTAACTCTGCCTCGTTGGGATTCAGTATATCCAGCATGTCTCGTAGTACTTGAAGCCCGTCATAAGCATCGAAACATATATACTTATACTTTGAGTTCACCCACTTTGAAGATACGCATTGCCATTCCAGTGTCCTTCTCTGCCTAAAATCTCAAGTTGAAGCGCCTTGACAGCAAACTCATGGGGATACCTCTATAAACATGGTCAAAACTAACGACTCCGGTAACTGTCAGTTCCTTACTTTTTTAATAAGGTTCAGGGCTTTCTGGAGACGATCCTTAGCGAGTGAGCTCTCGAGTTGGAGGTTTGCTCGAACTACGCTTCGTTAACTCTCATACGAAGACTTCAACCTGGTTGAACCCTACTAGATGCGTGTAAAATGAGTAGTTCATCATTGTCAATGCTCTGGGCCATATGACTGTGGTAAAGCTCCCAAGCTGACAAGGCCCTCTCTAACCATTTCGCTGCGTTATCATATTGGCGGTCATCGAGAGCAAAACTTCCGATCTTATAGCATAACTCAAAAATACGTCTCTGGCCATATGCAGTAGCTATCGCCGGTATCTTCGAAAACAAATGGTCTGCTATATCGGGCCTCCCTTGCAGCCAGGCCTTATCTCAGCATGTCAGCCCTGAATATAGTCGCCTGGGGCTTGCATATTTACCAAATGAACTCGAACCATATAGTACCCCACCGTAGCTGATGTTATTTGTGCCTTATCCGAGCTATCCGCCGATCTATCGAGTCTATCCAAGCGAACAGCTACTATCTCGATGATCTTTTGGCTTAGTTCAATTAACCCATGTTCTGTTTCCATTAATCAACATCTGGCTGGAAGACAAAAATACGACAGGGGAGTACCTGTGCAACTTTGGCCGGTTTTCATTGCTGCTTCCAGCACTCTTTGGCTTCCTAGACCTTTTCATGAGAAACTGCCCTCTAGAAATATGTAACACATGATATATTAATATACCTGAGCCGTGACTTGGCGCAGCGCGATCAAGCATGAATAATGCAATGGCGCTCACTATAAAAATGAGTCAGGCGGTGTCATCGTTAATTGTAGACAAATTTCTCATGCCTTTACAATGAGTAATGTTCCCAATAATCGGTATCATGTGGGCAGATATATTCCACAACCTTGCCCCATGGGCGGCTAATTGGCGACGGATAGTAATCGGAGGAGCCGTGAGTAGAGGAAGGTGGCAAAGATGTTCATCGAGTGAGTGGAATGCATCGCTCATTGAGATCATGCCCTCATGAATATTGTTCTGCAGGTGCTGCAGTAGTTCTTTGGCGAGTTCTGTGTGATGTGTCAGAAATGAGACATTCCGCAACCAGTGAAAGAAGCACTCTGAAAGTCGCTCACCTAATATTGTTTCAGCTTTGACTTCAGAATTGCTTGATGCTGTTGCCATGTCCTCGAATTTAGCAGTCTAGTTCTTGTAGATGATCTTGCGCGCCTGACTGTCAAATAGAATGTTCATATAAGGGGAAACGGTTATTGCCAACTGGAAGCTAATACTCAGATGTGTCCTGTGACTGGTTTGTTGGATTACATTACACGCTACAATTCCAGAAGATCTTCCTTTTCGGAAGGCCATCCACATGATCAGACTACCATCACGTTATTCAGGTATCAAATCCAGGCAAGCAAATCCCAACCCATTGTTGTTCCCGCTATGAGCGTTAGGGAGAAAGAGTGAAGTATGATACAATTTTAACGAAATGTATGATGGGCTTAACATTCCAGCGCGTTCAGCTGCTAAAGCGCTTAGGTGGGCGTATATGCCGAGTATGTCCATTCGAAACCAATAAAACCCCAAAAAGTCCTACGCCGACAGCAAATTGAAGCAAAAAATCAAGACATATATTCATCGACTCTTTCGTTGAGATGGCAGGAAATTCCCAACAATAAGAGACGGACTAAATTGCGAGTCAGACAGGAAAAGTATAGCGGCATAATATTCACTTACATATTGTGCGGATCTCTCCGGATTGTGAATGAAAAGCAGCAAGGAATCCCATCGCCAGGAGAACTAGAGTCAGGACTTTTCAATGTGCAGCTTGTGAGCATTGCTTTTTGTGTGTTATCAAAAGCAATTGCTCCAAATTTCTCCCAGTAGCTCACAAGCTGATCTTCCACAATAATTTCATGAATGGCCAGCTTGCCCTAGTACACGAGGACGAGTCAGCTTAATCCTTCAAGAAGACCAATACCACCATCACCGGACTTACATCTCTTAGACTTTCGATTGGGACCCCGATCAATTCTGCCATCTCCTTATTGCCTCGAAAGATCTCACCCGTACGCCTCCAGCAGCAAGCCGGAATTGCCATACTAGCGAAGACACGATCGTATTCCATCAAGCTCCGTTCAAACCACATCTCCACAAGGATGAGTTCGATATCCGTCAGACTTTGCATTCTCTCTCTGAACTTTGGCCTGAATTTATCGAGTTGTCGGAGAATCTTCTGCCGCGAGGCTTGCTGCAGATTTTTTTCCATATATTGGTTTAACCTCGCGTAGCCCTTTACGTAGTTAAATGGCCTGAGAAGGCCGGCATCGTATTTAGCCTTCAGGAGTTTGTTCATTCGCTCTTCCGGTGGATCAGACCCGGAGGGATCTGCTGCCGTCATGTAGTACGTTTCCCGCGCTTTATCATTTACCGCACCACTAATTGGGCCCTGGATTGATTCGCCCTGAGAAGGTTGGTTCTGGGTCAACGGCGGCGGTTGCGATTGCTGGAGTAGCGCCGTGTTAGGTCCCCCACCGAGTGTTGCCATCGAACTGATCAACGTCGGGTCAGAGTAAATCCCTTGCAGATCATCATTCTGGAACATTGACCCATCATCCAAGAGACTGTTACTCAGAAAGTCACCAAGAAGGTTGTACTCATTTGTGACCTCCGGAGCATTGAACATATACGAAGGATGAAAAGTGTGCATATCCTGAAATTGGCTTTGACCGCCAAGCCAATCATTGTAACCGAGAACTTGATGAGGTAGAAGTCAACAACAACCTAAACAAAAACATTTACCTACTTGGAGACTTACGTGGCTGGGAAGTTGCGCCGGGAGCTTGACCTGAAGAGGAGGGGAGATTGCCGTGCTGCACAGACGACGATGGAAGCCCGTTAGGGAGGATTTGCTGACCGGCAGCATCCTGGACATCGACATTACTAGTCATGCCTTGAAGGACGTTCGAAAAGTCATTGTTCTGCACGCTTTCGTCATCTGCTACAGAATGTTCATGTTCACTCCGAGCGCGCTTCGAAGGTTCTCTAGGTTCGTCATGGCACAGGTGGCCAATATTGCGCTTTATACATCGTGTACACGGCCGCTCCTTTATTTTCCAAAGGGAAAGAAAAGAAAACAAGTGTCAGCAACTCTCGTGCAAGGCAACCGTAATAGGTTTCACAAGGGTGAGCTGTGATGGTAAAGTTCAGGAAAGCCGTACCGAATCGCAAGTCATATGCTGTACCACGTGAAGAATTGCCCTTTCGTCAGCAGATAGATTCCGAGGGGTTCTATTTACTCCTTGCTTTGTTTTTGCGAGGGGGAAAGCAAATTGGACGTCCGGACAGACGACGAGTATTGCTGAACGGGGTGTCAAGGGAACAGGCTTACCGATCGCCGACAGTAGACGCATGCTAAAAGAGTGGCAACAGGATTAGCGTCGTGGACTTCATGCCCGCGGAACGGCAAGGGGAGTGTGAGGATCCGCTGCCATTATCCTTGTACAAATGCATGGCGAGGTTGTTTGCTTACCATGATTAACCTTGCGACGCTTCTTGGGGCTGGCGTGAGTCCCCGCAGCAGCGTTTTCACCTTTGGACGCTGGAGAATTTCGCGAGTTATCTTTGGCGGTTGAGTCCATTTTGATAGCGTCTCCCTCGGCCATATTGTTCTTCAGATTTCCTAAGGTACCATTGCCGGATTGTTCGGGTCTCGTGCCCGTTTGCGCAGCGTTTTTCTCGGTCATTGATCACTGGGCGCAAAAGCGGTTGCGCAGAGCCGGCTGTTTCGTTGTCGCTATCGGCTAAGGGACACAGATAAGAGCCCGGTGGGAACTTGCAGACATTAACTAACGCTCAAAGACAGAGAAAGCTCGAATGCATTGTAGGAAAGTAATACTTGAGTGTCTGTCGTGGCGCGAAAGTATGTATGTATGTATGTATGGTATGATGATACACGCGAACGGCGATTGCGATCGACTCTCAAGGTTTCCCCGCTGGTGTGCGGGACTTCCACTCGGACGGGTTGTATCTTTTCCCGAGCTCCTCCGCATTTCAGCTGCGGGAAACGCCCCAAGATGTCCCGATGCATTCTCTTGACACCATAAATCTCCTCAACCTCCCCAACTCTCCCTCGGAACCCCAAAACTTGATATTCAACAACCCAGCATTTCTGCATGTCCATATGTGACACAGCTGTACCTCGGCTGGAACACCTTATACACTTGAATCTTACCCTCCAGGTTGAATTAAGTTATATACCAATTATGCTTTCTAGTATTCCAAGGTATCGGAGTGTTCTAATATAATCCAAGACTCATCAATCTAAGTTCACCAGGAACGAACATGGCACTTTCTAACGTAAACATATGCCCAGGCCCTCCAGATTTGGAGTTGCTCCATACTAGTACGATTCTATGCTCTGACGCACAGCCACCTCGTCATAGTGCGCCAGATTAACTCCCGTGATCTAGACTAGACCAAGTTCCCTGACTAATCTCCCTGTCGAAATAAGGGGCTTTCCAACCTTCACCGTACCATGCATTCTGTGTAAAGACTAGCGATCTGAACCGTATGATGGCTGGTGCTTAAGTGCCCCGTTGGTGGCGTTTTCATAGCACGCTCATACAGAAAGGCTGAAGAGAAATTACGCCCATCACATGCGTAGTACTGAAATGATTCTTCAGGAATCAGCCCATTGTTCAAGGGTCAATGCCCTGGGTCAAGCCGTTGCAGTCATGCACCTGCAATACGAACCGGAAGGTTCAGCTGAATGATAGGCCAGCTTGACTCGGGCGACCCTGTAGCTGTGGTAATACGATATCAAGTTTTATGAAATCCCAATCCGGGTCAAAGTTCATATAGCTCAATCTTCGGGCCGGCACGTTAGGCTCAAGGCGGTCTGAGACCGTGTAATCACCTCACTTAGGCCTGCCAGAGGAGCTGTATTACTCTGCATGGATTTGAGATGCCCATTCAGCTGCTTTAACAAGTCCGCTACCTCAGGGTCGGTTTCGAGCTAAAGAGAGCACGTTAATGGCAGCCCGACAATGAGAGGAGACCGTGTTATTACCTCATCAAACGTAGTATGCAAATCGTTTTCGTCAGCGAGTATGAACTGAGTATGATCTTGACTCTGCTGACCAGGAACGCTGAGCTGTCGAAGTACGGGGTGTTCCTTTCAATAATCAGTGAGAAGTTTCGCGAATTCACAGCAACACAGTCAGCTTACATTTTTCAGCTGCCTCTTCCGTTCTGCTTCTGCCCGCTTAGCATTCTTCTCCATTTCCTGCAATTGCTTCGTTTCCTTCGCAAGTAATGCCTCCTCTTTTTCGATTTCAGCTTTCAAGAGATCAGTGCTGTCAGTGACGGTAGCCAAGCTCGCCTCCAGGGAAGACTGTTGAGTATCAGTATTGGTTTGCTAAGGCAGTCGAGGACGCTTCGTACGTGTTCTTTAAGTGCAGCCTCGTACTCGAAAACTGAATCCTTTGTTACGGGTGGAAATGGCATTCTAGGTAGGCGCTTTCCGAGACTAGAGAGAAAAGGTTTGAAAGTTAGGCCATTAGTTTACCAAGAACAGAAGCAATGATAGGAGAAGACATAAAAGATTCGAAATGCATACTTCTTCACTACGGCCTGAACTGCCGCCTGCGCTTCAATGCGTTTTCGCTCATTTTGTTGACGAACTATGACCGGGCGCTCGAGAGCTCGAAACATATCGCGAACCTTCTCTTGCATTGGCTCTGGGAGCGTAGACCATTTAGATTTGATCGTTCGTTCAGAGACCCGACGAACTTGGGGCTTCAGATAAGCAAAGCGCTTCTTGCGCGTGTCGTCTTGATCATGCCCATCACCGGAGCTCTTTCGTTTCGGAGGCATTGCGACTTGATCAATCGAAGAGCTACAGGCCCTTGGGCCAGGTTCAAATTGAATAATGACAAAGAAAAGGTACGAAGGTATTGTGGTAGTGATGTAGATCGATGTCAACGTCAACGCGCGATTGTTGATCTTGCTGCAGCGTCACATGCCAGAGAAACAGAATGACGCTAAACTAGTTTGAGCGCCCCGTGGGGCACTCCAGCTGACGGCTGCAGGTACGTTTGGAACTATCGCGTATCCTACGATAAACGCTACCTCGGCGATTTTTTCTTGTATCTTTGATTTCTTGTATGTTTCTATTGATTGTCTTGCTGTAGAGTAGAACTTGGAAAGGTTGTCGGTTTGTGAGAGCCTTTACATACCAACACATATTTTATACCCATGCCCAAATGCAAGGGCATACATTCTCTATAGCCGAATATATATCAGCTTCCTATTATGCATACAAGACACAGAACATAAGGCTCGGCTCTTAGGCCTGAGCAATCAAGGGTATTATAAGGCGTGAAGCACATCGTAACAGCAACGAGACAGGCTTGAAAGAACAGGAGGGAAGGAGAACACATAGATATCTTAGGGGATAGATCATGATCGCCAGATAATAAACGCCCGGTGAATCAAACGTTCACAATGTACACCGCCTAACTCGCTAATCGCTTCAGTTCAGAGAACTCGGTAAAATTGCCTGTGCTCGAAAAAGTGTTCGACAGGGTAGGAAGAAGAAAAGGGTACGTCATAGTCGCATAACAGACATACGCGTTATCGAGGCATAACCAAGCCATTCATAGCTTTCATGTCGGCTAGCTGCGCCTTTAGAATCTCATTCCCACGAAGTATCTCCTCTAGCCAGTCTGCAGCTTGCGTAAGCATGGCACTTTTGCTGAAGCCTCCACCCTTCAACCCAGGTACAAGCGTGCACAAATCATCGAATCCCTGCCTAATCAAGTTTCTGCGTTTTTGCTCAGACAAAATGTGATTACTGCGTTTTTGTTCCTCTGTGAGATTCTCCCTTGCTGGTTTGGCACCCTGCTGAACTTTCGATTTTCGGATGGTCTCAGTTGACATTCGCCGATTCTTGCCGTAGCTCGTACTCTTGGATCTTCTTGACCTCGGTTTCGAGTCATCCTCCGAGTTCTCATCCTCTTCTTCCTTGATCAATGTCCTTTGCCGTTTCTTAGGTTGCGATAGATCTTCTATGCTGTCTCTGTATTCCCTGCGTAAATCACTGAGTGGCCCGGTTGCATCCGGTCCTGTCCAATGAGCACTGTGGTGACCGGTGATACGTTCCGGACTTGGTGCGCGAGTATTGGCAGCACTGCTTTGGGGCTCAAGTGACTCGAGATGGCGAAGCAACTCCTGCGTCTGTTCTTCTACGTTCGGCTGGTCAGGCGGTGCCACATATCCTTGGTCCATAAAGCTGACATCAGAACCCCAATGAAGGGGCCGTACTTTGGCAGTGGCTTGTTGCTCTGGTGATATTGGATCTCGTACATCGAAGAGCATTTCCGACGTATGATAAGCCATCGGTGTGCGTGCACCAGTAAACGTGTTCGATTGTTTGGATGACACTGGTTGCGGTTGTTGGGGTTTTACACGACCATTCATACGGGAATTATTGTAGTCCATCTCTGGAAAAGAGGAGAATGGGTGATGTGCAAAAGGAGGAACGAGTCCAGCCCCATTCATGCCGTTCTGATAGAGCATGGAAGCAGCCGCAAAGATATCCGAATTTGAATGGTTAGGTAAAATGTCCATCCCAGATTTATCTAGGCCACGGTGAGGAAGTGACGGTTGTGAGAGAGAGGTTGTGGAGCCTTCGAATGTTGGAGGCAGTTCATCTGACCATTCAAAGTTTGTCGGCCCAAGTGACTTGTTCTGTTGGCCCTGTAGCCAGAAGTCGTTCGTGAAATGGTTGGAATTCATAGTCGTGAAGAAATTATCAAGCATATTAGACTCATTATCATCAAGAAGGGCTGGCCCGGGAGGAGGCGCAGGTGCAGGTTCGTAAGGAGTATCCATGGGCGAAAGAAAGGAATCTGCAAGGTGAATGCGATTAGACTGAGATGTTATGTGTCAGACTTCGGTTATACGTACAGCCAAATGGTCCCGGTTGAGGGCTATCTCGTCCACTACGAGCCTGAGGGGCGTTCATATTCATTTTAATGGGAAAGAGAGAGTGAAAGAGAAAGGAGCGACAGTGTAAAGTGTGGAGGGGTAATGGCTTTTTGCTTGTGTCGCTACTCTATTGTTGAGAGCCACGTCGAGAGAGCAACGTGAGCATGCCTTGATCGGCCAATGGTCTGGACTTGTACCCTCAAAATCCGGGGTCGTATAAGGGTACCGATAAGTGGAGTCCTCGGGCTCGTCTTGTCCTTGATGTACGAGCAGGGCCTTTTTGGAAAAACCGAACCGCAGATATATGAGTTCACTTGAGTGTAGGTATTAATCAAACACAATACCGAGCAGTAGCATTAGACGAGGACAAGGTTGGCCTGGTGGATGAAAGGCCCCCGCATTGATATCATATGGGAAAGAGGGAGGAAAGAGTTAGTTAGTCGTCTGGGGATATGCGATGGTGGAGAGAGCAGCAGTAGCATTGGAGTGGAATCCGTCGGTCTTTTCGACTCGATCACATGCAAAAAATCTCGCGCTCGAACAGAAAGAAAAGGTCGCGTGACGTAAAAACCATACCAAAAATACCCCACTGGTGTCTATCAGTGTTGTTAGAGTTTCCGTAATACCGGGGTATTGTGACGCTCGGTCCTATTTCCCAATCCCGCTAGAAGAGGGTCTCAAATCCATGTCCTGCATGAATTGTCTGCTCTCTTTCTCTCCCCTCCCTTCCTCCTGGTCCATAAGTCAGGCCAGTATAACACCTTGCAGACCCCTCCCCCTCAGTTCCCCCTTATCTTCGCATTACTATTCGGAAAAGACTTTTGTATATAACTACTTCTTTTTTTTGGGGAATTGTTCATCTACTCTTTTCCTCGTTCCGCTTTCTTCGGCCCACAACCAAGTGTACTCCGTACGGCCCGGAGGCCCACGGGGTTTATCCCGCGGGACGACTCACGTACCACCCAATTTTGCGGCTGACAGATGGAGGATCGGCCACCAAGGGTTTAGTCCTACCCCTGAACCAGCCTTAACAGACATGCTTTGGAGGTCCCCAAGGACCGAGGTTCAAGATTACGTTGCACGGCTCCACGCTAGGTCACACCAACGCTACCAATAGACCGTTATCAGGTAGGAATTATTCAAGCTGCTGCCACAGCAGGTGTTTGTGCTAGTTTTCCCATTTCGTATTCCGTAATCTCGTCCAATTTACATGATCTCCGTCGATTGTTGCCTCAAAGAGATCTGGATTGACAGCGATCCATGCTAAGTTCTCCGTAAGGAGTAGGTACACCTCGTCTGAAAGGTGTGTTTCGCTGCCCATGCTTTATGTACAATGATCGGCTATACATGGCTAGGAGGGATTCCTGACACCCCTATATAGTTTAGGGTGATATTGATCGGTGTGGTAACCATCTTCTACTAAGAAGTGGTCATGAAAAATTGCCATTGAATGGAGTTCTGAAGACCATGGATTCTATAGGCCTCACGGGTAAAGGCCGAAATAAAACTCAATTGCTAAAACCGTACGTATTACCTTAATTGTGATGCAGTTTAGGCGTCGCATACGATCTAGAACGCTGGTACACGTTACATTTTCTGGGGTGCTGCTGAGATTGCTGACTGGACTGCTGCTTGTGTATCGTCACAGTATCTTGCGTGCGTATGCCATTGGTTATTTGTCCTCCACCACTCCGAGGGTTATATCGTCTTTACGGGAAGTTTGGAGGAATGACTTGAACTATCAACAGAAGTGCAAAGTGGTAGGTTGTTCCATTAGTGGATACTTACATTATTGAAATGTTTCTTGATCATCTGGCATCTGCCCTTCCTTGACCCATATATGACTTTTGCGGCCCATGATCTACTTGCCAACTACAGGATTGGATAGACGTTTTAGACTAATACTTGGGTCACAGTTAGTTCGTGCACTGACGAGTGCAATACGATTGGAGAGCTTCCCCACATTCTGTGCTTCTCTTGTTGGGGGTTCAACAGTGTTTCCCCTAGTCATTTTTCAGCTGGCTGAGCTGTTAAGGCAAAGGCTTGGCTTCAAAAGTAGTCGATCAGAATCTGCCAATTTTCTACGTCTATGTCGACTTGTCTGTGCTTTTCTATCCGCGTGGTTGAGCTTTGAACTGCTGAACCGAAGACCCATAAGGCTGCAAGGAGATGAAAGGACGCTCGCTGACTATGAAAACAACGACGCTGCTGGGAGGCAGCATGGATGCAAGAATACAATACATAAAAGGCCTCAGTTTGCGGGTAGGACGATGGATCTGACGCTTTTTAGCTTTACCAGAGCAGTGGATCTCGTAGCCTGCATCATATGGGCTCGATGGCGAGGGTGGCGGAGCGCTCGGGGTCGCTGGAGCTGGGCAGAATCTCTGGCGCCAAAGCTTGCGGATTCAGGCGTATTTGCCGCTAGTGCAGCAGTCGTGATGTGGGCATGGTTTTACCTCCCCGAAAGGTTGCCAAAGTCTTACGGTAAATGGATTGGAGAGGTAGCCAAGGTGGATTCACGGTTGATTGAAGCACTTCGCCGAGCCAGGAGAGGGGTCTTCGTGTATGGGAAAGACACGGGGCAAGCGCCTCTACTCGAGTCCATGTGCAAGGACTACGGCTGGCCTATAGAATGGGGAGATCCCTCCAAAACCGTTCCTATTCCCTGCGAAATGGTACACATGAGCTGTGGCCCTAACTGTGAGAAACACGCCGTATCTCGGTTCGCTCGAACTTTTGGATTTGCCTGTGCAACATATATACCTTTACAAATTGCCTTTCGTCTCCGGAGATTGAACTCGATAATGACACTCCGCCGGGCCGTATCTGATGCCTTGCGCTCATCGGCATTTCTTGCTTCGTTTGTGAGTATTTTTTACTATTCCGTCTGTCTCGCCAGAACCAGAATCGGACCGAGAGTATTCTCACGAGATGTGGTAACACCCATGATGTGGGACTCCGGGCTTTGCGTTGGAGCTGGATGTTTGATGTGCGGCTGGAGTATACTTGTAGAAAGCCCCTCGAAACGGCAGGAATTAGCATTGTTTGTGGCACCTAGAGCTGCCGCAACCGTGCTCCCAAGGTTCTACGATAAGCAGGTATGGTTCACTCCGTTTGATTGCTTACCTGCATGTTCTCCAATTCCCGTGTGACACCTCGTCTTGTGTTGCAATTTCATAATTGCAATCTGATTTCCCGTCATACCTTGTGTAATCCCAGAATTCAATGAATGCTAATCGGTCTTTAGTATCAATATCGAGAGCGCATTACTTTCGCTGTCAGTGCCGCTCTCCTTATCACTTGTCTTCAAGAGCGGCCTGGCATGGTAAGAGGCGTTTTTGGCAGAATTGCAACTAGTGTCCTGAAATAATGAATGATAGAGCTTACTACGACGATGCGCCATACCCAGAATCTTCTTCGACGTCTTGGATGTCATTGAAGAAGCTTTTTTTTTTTTTTTCCCGTTGTATTACTAGAAGAATATAGAGCCTTCTTTTGCCCCTTCATTGATCCTGTAGTGCAGTACTACGGTAAAATCGATATCACGGGCCTATGCGCTCAACTCGAAGCAGAGTTTAGACGTGATGCCGTCTTTCTAGGCATGGAAAATAAATTGAATGTCGGAATACCTCCCAAGGTACCTGGTACCTAAGTCCCTTATTTAACCACGCAACGGTAACGAAAGTCACCAAATAGAAGAGTAAGGGTATCATGCAGCGGTATACAATTACTGCCAGGCCACTCCACATAAACATTCCAGGATCTTGACCGATAAGCACACAGGTAGCCTAGTTACTGACCTTACTGATATATAAGGTTTGATCCTTCTGCTGAGAGCTCATCTGGGTTTTATCATGATATCAAAGAAGTCCAGCATGTTTGACTTGAGTCTATATCTGTTTTTCTTTCTCTGGGAAACTTTGGCTGCAACTCTAGCTACAATATGGCTGAGACGGAATATTAGTAATTCAGAATTCGCTTTGAACACTCCTCGCTTTTATCCTAAGATAAATGCCTTCACCATCCCTTTCTCTATATTATGCCGAGGCTATGACGTTTGCCTTTCTTGAAGAGCTGCTATAGGGGTACACGGACTTGGAGCTGGCTCATCACATTGTATCCTCGCCGTCGTACGTGTCTTCCTCGCGGGTATTCAACCTCTCCTCGAATCTCATAGCCAAGCAACATGAGCCTTCAGAGGTCGAGGATGCTTTGAAGGCTACCGAAGTCGCCGGCCAGCTTGGGATCCGCGGTCCTTCCGTACGAAATATAATCAAGAACCAAGAAAATGCGTACACTATCATGGATCGGGCCAGGGGAACTACGTTGGACGTCGTCTGGAAGGAACTGGGCTGGTTCATGACAGCTAAGTTTGGTCTGCAGCTTCACCCGCTTCGTGAAAATTCTCAGGTCTGTTACTTCACCAACTGCCGGATCGCTCGCCACAGGCGAATGTTGGTCTTTCTGGCTGGAAGATCACTACGGTCTTCCGGCGAATCCTGGCCAGCCGATATTGCCCACTTCTTCCGATTCTGGGCGAACTTTACGTCTATGCGTCGAACGATGCAAGCATCAAAACAACCTCAAGGACAGACTCATCAGATTTCACTGTGGGGTGGCCAATGACCATCGAGCCATTCATCTTGACTCATCATGATCTTGCGCCGCGCAACCTTCTGGTTTCTCCTTCTGGTCAGCTCCCGCTCCCTTGACTGGGATCTGGCTGATTTTATCCTGTTACCTTTGAGTACGCATCCATGTACAATTTCAACATTCCTCAGGACTGGGGTTTGATGGCCCCTTTACGGTGGCATCTATTTGCCTGGATCGCAATCGGCTATCATGAGGCTGACGCTCGCCTGCTACGAAAGATGCGTTCTAAACTCACATAATTCGCTATTGGAAGGAGATACGAACTATTGGAAAAAGGAGGCCCCCAAAGATACCCTGTAACCTGATTTGTGAACTCCACACAGTTTATTTTCGTGTTCTCAATGGTTTTATAGAAGTAAACATTCACTGTTTGCCTGAATCTCTGGCGCTTGCAGAAGGAGACAGCTCCGACAGGTACTAAGCAGTCCAGTATTAGCTTAAGACTCTAGGGCAATTTAGTCGTATAAACCGAGTCTTACAATATATCCAGAAACACTACATCCAGCTACAATAACATCAGCAAGTCCATTTCAGACTGAGCTTAGTCTACTCATATACCTTAACTCAGTCATCAATCCACCCAAGACCGGCATAACCATATAAGCAATATATTCGCAAGATATAACCTTTAATCCCTCAGTAAAAATACTTACTCTCCCCTTGGACATTATTGCAGTGAAATCAAAATCTAGTCACTTATTCCAAGGACATTGTGAAATTATAAGTTGGTCAGGGAAAGAGCGTGATACATGTAGTTAAATATCAAGAAGTTGTAAGGAGTGAGTGTACTTTGTACTATATCTAGAGGATTCAGGAAGTAGGAGAGCAAGAGAGAAGGAAGAGAACATGCTGACACACTTCAATTAGGGGCTGTAGTGGGCCAGGTTTTCACAGCTAGGCCTGTTATTATCTCTTCTCGCGGTATCTTGACTTCCATGGTGAAGCAGCCAAAGAAATGGTTAATATGAAGTGGGGCAGGGGTCAACGGACTCGGTATACCTAGGTGTTGAAGGGTGAGTAAATTACCTGAACTCGGTTCACCCTCTCAAAGCAGCAAAACCAGGATCAGGCAGGAAGAAGTGCTCGCAGTTTTTTGCGCGGTGGAAAACACCTACCAGGCTAGGCACTCCTACTACTAACACAGTAGAACAATAACTATAGGGTTCAAGTTCACTGAACGAATTTGTGCTAATTGGTTGCTGGCATGCATCAAAGTTCGGCCTTATCGATAAGAACGTCTGATCGCCAAGGTTGGATCACGTGCTGGGAGGCCTTCGATATTGCAAGGTGAGTTCTCCGCATATATCCGACTATGCATCAAGTCTGTCGAAATGTATGGTCGCATAGTCTCTCCGTGGGCCCGGTTTACGTTACCGGGAACAGGCCTTCGGCTACAAACATCTACAAATGCGAGATGTTTCGAGCCAGGGAAGAGATACTTCTCTCGCAATCCCTTTTTAGGACAAAATGCCTCCGCACCGTTTAACACTCCCCAGGCTCAGAAGCGGAATGCATCCACACTGTATTATTATCGCACTGTGCTCTTTGCGGCTCATTTCTAACAACATCTAGGTACTATACGGCGAGTCTTATTCTCGGAACGGTTGCGCTCGCATACAGCTCCGTCCCTCTATATAAAATGGTGGGTATCAATCGCCAAGCGCCCATTTATCCGCAGCAGGAGCTGAACTCTACGGTTATGTAGATTTGCCAACAGACTGGTTGGGGTGGTCAGCCCATCCTTACTCATCGTGGAGGAGACGCCGATACCGCATCTCGTGTGACGCCAGTAACAGACGCTCGTCGACTCCGAATTACGTTCAATGGTTCAGTCTCCGATGTCTTGCCGTGGAAGTTCACTCCTCAACAGCGCGAAGTCCGGGTATTGCCTGGTGAAACGGCGCTTGCCTTCTATACCGCAACGAACAAGGGTCCTTCGGATATCATTGGTGTTGCAACATACAGCGTAACGCCCGGCCAGGTTGCCCCGTACTTCAGTAAGATTCAATGTTTCTGTTTCGAAGAGCAGAAATTGAATGCTGGTGAATCTGTCGACATGCCTGTTTTCTTTTACATTGACCCGGACTTCACGAAAGACCCGCAAATGAAGGGCATTGACACCATCACACTCTCATACACCTTCTTCAGTAAGGAAACGGCTTGCCTGCAGAAGTAATATGTAACGGATTGCTGATACAAAACAGAAGCGCGATATGATGACAACGGAGTTCTCAAACCGATACCAACAAACTGATTACATAGACTGATTACTGTTTCATCCCTATCGAAACGGCAGCGCTTGGATTGGCCACCTCCTAGCTTCAGTAGATAAGGCCATGTCGAAAGCCTGGTAGCCTGATATGGCGTCGACGAAGCGAGGTTGCCCAAGCAAGCACAATAATCGTGAAGTGCCAGGTTAGGCTCTGGCGAAATACCTCGTAACCTATCTCCATATCGGGAGATCTATGGGCTCCTGGGGAATTTGTATCTCCTCTCTAGAAAGAAGACACATAGATGTATCATAGCAATGGATATCTGTACATTACGTTTTGCTGCTTGGTGACACCAACCATAGTCTCGTACAGTTCAATTAGGTGAAAATTGCCCGGAATGATGGCGTGTACACTCTCTTCTCAGTGGCAGCGTATTAAATGGCTAAGTTCTGTGGCACTATCTATATATTGAGAGGCTGATGATCTACTATTTTGTACTGGTATCTATGATGGTCAGCGCCCGTGCACGGACCACCAATTAAGCTCGCGTGTCACGACCTTTCCGACGCGTCTTGCTCTCCGATCAATCTAAGCTATCTTTACATTTGTGAGAAGCACTCGATAGCCTCACAACACCGTAACAGATACGAGAGCACTAAAGATGGCTTTGCTAGTAGACAAGCTGCGACCACGCTCGCTGGACGCCCTCTCATATCACCATGAACTCTCCGCGCGCTTGAAGTCACTGGTAATAAGCCTGAACCAGATTCTTGTTAAGAAAGACCACCAATTGACATCATCATTGTTCTAGGCACAAAGTGGAGATTTCCCCCATCTACTTATGTACGGACCATCAGGTGCAGGCAAAAAGACCCGGACAATTGCGACACTAAAAGAATTGTACGGCGCGGGTGTGGAAAAGATCAAAATCGATGCTAGAGTCTTCCAGACGACGAGTAACAGGAAGCTCGAATTCAACATTGTATCGTCTGTATACCATTTGGAGATCACACCTTCGGATGTCGGAAACTATGACCGTGTCGTCGTGCAGGAGCTGCTCAAAGAGATTGCGCAAACACAGCAGGTCGATCTCTCCGCAAAGCAAAGGTTCAAGGTTGTCGTTATCAATGAAGCAGATCATCTGAGTCGTGACGCCCAGGCAGCTCTGAGACGGACTATGGAGAAATACAGTCCCAACCTGAGACTGATTCTGTTGGCTAATAGCACTTCGAATATTATTGCTCCGATTCGTTCCAGAACCCTGCTGGTCAGGGTTGCGGCACCAACAGAAGACCAGATCTGCTCCGTGCTTAGCGCTGCGGGCAAGAGGGAAGGCTGGCCGGAGGCGCCTGGACTTAATAAGAAGATAGCAAAGGAGAGCGGACGCAATCTCCGACGCGCGTTACTCATGTTCGAAGCTATCTATGCTCAAAGGTATGATCGATCGGTATTATCTTCCATTCTTGGCTCTAGGCTGACCCTATTCGACCATTAGTGAGAAGGTGACAGAGAACACTCCGATCCCACCGCCGGACTGGGAGGTGCTCATTTCTATCACGGCTGATGAGATTCTGGCTGAGCGGTCGCCGGCTCGACTATTGCAAGTCCGGGCTCGCTTGTACGATCTCTTAACCCACTGCATACCGCCTACTACCATTATCAAGGTCTGACTGCAAAGCGATAAAGAATTATCTGGTCAACGCTGACTAGTATCTTAGACCCTCACCTTCAAGCTCATCGCCAAGGTAGACGACGCTCTGAAGCCCGACATCGTTAAATGGTCTGCATTCTACGAGCACAGAGTCACACAAGGAAGCGTATGATTCCCGATCCCAACTGCAAACACCGAAGGATACTGACCCATCTTACAGAAAGTAATCTTCCACCTCGAGGCCTTCGTCGCCAAATTCATGCGCATATATGAAAGGTTTGACCCCATAGTCACACTACAGCCAAGCATTCACACTAACAATACACACAGTTACCTGATGGGCATGGACTTCTAAACTGTAGAAAAAAGAATAAAAATTAGTAATCCACGATTTATGATTGTTCTGTATAATATGTGACAGCAGCCTTACTTGGGAGGTGCGCATTGCATGGTTTCTGCGGCGGGATACAGATTCAGGTTTTGATGAGTTCGATCGGTGTTTCTGTATGGTATCGCAAAATAAGTCGGTAATATCTGCAAACAAAAGCTTCAGTGCTCGCTTAGGAATCGGGATCGGAACTTACGTAGTCTAGAATGTCGTCGTCCACTAGGACCAAAGCCATCCCCATGGGGAAAAGGGTTGAAGACGGACATGATAGACTACGTCATACAATTCCTCTATAAATTGGGAGGGCCAGCCACTGCCGAACTACTTTGGTTTAGAAAGTTTGGACCAATTTTAAACGTACATTTGTAACAGGAATTCACTTTGAAGTTCTTTTATTGTATATTACACCAGGCCTTGGAGATTATGTCGGATACTAGGCTGATGGATACTGAACCGGGTGGTGAGAGTACTCAGTCAGTTTTCTTTTCTCCCTGGTTATTTGATTTTTGGCGGATTTTATCTAACCATACATGAAGGTATGAATCTATTCGAGAGTTCACGGAGACACCGCCGAAGCAAACTGGGCAATTAGGTGGTATGTTGGTTCTGTTTGGCGGGGACACCATGTTTTATTCGGAGTAATATTGGAACTGACCAGTCTAAGGAAATATGCCACATACGAGGAGTGAAATGATGCGTCTCTTGGACCCGGATACCAGTTCAAAGGTGGAAGATGAGGATGCCGAATGGGCAAGGAGATTTTCAGGACAAAGCGGTGTCATGGGAGAAGTGGATAAAGGTACAGTTGATTTTTGGTTTCCTTCAATCTAACTCCGTGTATAAGACATCGACATATGTGGGAATAAAACATTCAAGAAAGAACCAAAAGCTGATGATAATATACACAAGACCTCAAGCCCGAAACCCAAGATGGCGATGCAGAAGCAGCGAGGAGTAGGAGACAGCAGGGATATGGACCTGGTTCCGGCGTTGGAGCTTAGGATTTGCCGCGCGCAGATATTGTACTATTACGGTCAAATGGAATTCATGCGATTCATTTATTGAGAAGCAGAGGGGCTGGACGAGGTCGAACTGGGTGGCGTAGACATGTTTGCCGTGCCCAGGGCTGGACTCCGGCGGGGGCGCTTCAGACTCTCCAGAGTCACGCCGTTGCCGAGCTTCGTCAAGCCGACAACAGGGGGGTCGCCCTTCTTACAGAACTCCCAGAGGCCTAGACCGGAATACGTTGTTAGCATGGAACCGTTACCGGCCTGTTTGTAGAGCGAGAGCTATGCTTACCGGGCAACTTGTGGCCAGCCAATCTGAAAGCCTCCCTTGCGACCTTCTCGTGAATATCGCCCTTCAGTTCAAACACGATTCTGCTGACACCGACTTTCGCCGTCCAGTAGTCGAACTTTCCCTTACCCTTACCCATACGCTGTTCGTTACCCTTCGTGTACACACCAATGTTGGCGCTCACACGCTTGTAGAGCGTATAGTTCATTCCTCTTAAACGTCTCTTAATGGTCTCTTCTGCGATCTTGAGTGACGAAGCCGGCAGTCGGCGGTCATGGTCCTTCATACGCAAGCCGTAGTCGCCCCAGACGACAGTTGTACCACGAGAGGAACCGCCAGTCGCAACATGGGGGCGACCCTTGGGGGACTTCGACGTTTCCATGAATTTCGGAGTAAGCCAGTCAAGAGCCGGGGAGGTCGTAGAGAAGCATCGTGATAGCGGAGAGGCCGTAAAAGTTGTGGATAAACCTAATGTTGAGACGGTCAGCTTTCCGGCCCTGTAGAGAAAAATTCTTATGGAAAGAAATCCAACATACAGGTAGGCCGGAAAAGGGCCAATTGAGGTCCCGAGAACATCTTCATCGTGGAGGCCATGGTGAGATCTGATGCCAGGCCCTTTTCGTAGCGAATTAGCGATGTTGGATGAAGAACTTCCAGACTATCGGCGTATCTGCAAGTCCGATTTTCCCCCAGTCCTAAACGGGTAAAACAAGCTTGGCGCACGGACCATGCGCGTGTTCCTTATGTAAGCCAATTAAGTTCACGTCGGCGACAATAGCTCAAGGCAGCGCGTCGTGTTTTCCGATCTAGTTGCCTATAATGGTCATTTACTAAGAGCGCTTGGTGCATTGGTTGGTTCAAATCTGCACTTATCATCCCTAATTCACCTTCTGTCTGTCCATGGCATGCTCTGAGATTTTTATAATTCATCATGCCTGCTGATATCAGGAGCTTTTTTGGTGGCAAGCCGAGCAGCAGTCAGGGCTCTAGTGCCTCTCCTGCGAAGCCGCCCGCAAAGAAAGAGGTACGGAAGGCTCCGCTGCCAAATCAACTTTTCGGGTTCTGCGATGCAGGCTATAATTTCGTTGAATCAAACTAACATGAATTTCTCTTAGGAACCTGCTGGCAGGAAAAGGCGTAAGATGTCAACCGTTCTACTCACTTGCGCGTTCATTAACTGGTCATGTAGGCGGGAGGAAAGTTGTGGATGACAGTGATGACGAGGACGATATCAAAGCGACCAAGGCGCCAGCCCCCAAAGCAAAGGAGTCGACAAAGCCGTATGCATTGCACAGTACCTACTCAAATCTGCTGGCTCACCCACTGACCATCCCTGTGAAGGAAACCCGAGGCACCGCAAGGGGAGGTGACGACCACTTCGGACTACTTCGCCTCCAGTAAGAAGAAAGGAAGGCCGGCCAAAGCCAGTACCGCGATGCCCGCTACGGAGACTCAGCCCCCCAATAACGCCATTTCAGAGGAGGGCAAAGCCAGCAAATCGCCGCGAGCGAATAAACAGACCGAGAAAAAGGAGACCCCCAAGCGACCAACGCGCGAATCTAAGAGGAAGGCTACGACTGTCCTAGATGATGAAAAACTCGGCGATGATGACATATTTGCAACGGAGTTTGGAAAGCCAGGTAAAGGCGATGATGATTATGTTGAGGATGAGCACAGTGAAAAGGATAGCGATCTCGAAGAACTTGCAGTGAAACCGGCTACTGCAGCCTCAAGTAGGTCTGGACGTAGGAAGCCAGCCTCGAAGTTAGACTCAGATGACGATGATGTAGTTATGGAGGATGCGCCAAAACAGCCGAAGAGAGCAACAAAATCGGCAGCTTCACAGCCTGGAAGGAAACGGAAATCTGAAGCCCTGGGTAAGGAGGAGGAGGATGAAACCCGGGAAAGCCCTAAGAAGGGTACTTCACATTCGAAAGCATCGTCAGCGGCTCGTGCGCCCAAGAAACCAAAGGGGTCTCCGTCTAAGAAAGACCAGCCCGAAAGCAAGGAAATACAGGACATCTTTGACAGTATCCCAACTGTCCGACCGCCCTCACCCCCACCAGAATCTGGAGACAAGAAGAAGTTTAACCCATTCGCTGCACGAGCGCGCTCCCCCGCAGCCGGCGGAACCGCTGAAATCCCGGTCGGGGCTGAAAATTGTCTTGCAGGGTTGTCTTTTGTTTTCACCGGTGTCCTTGACACTTTGGGTCGTGAAGAAGGACAAAACCTAGTCAAAAAATATGGCGGCAAAGTTACTGGAGCTCCGAGTTCAAAGACAAGTTACGTTGTCCTCGGAGGTGATGCCGGTCCCAAAAAGCTTAAGACGATCAAGGATCATAACCTGAAAACAATCAATGAAGAGGGTCTCTTCGAGCTCATCCGAAGACTGCCAGCCAATGGCGGCGACGGAAAAGCCGCTGAAAAATATGAAGAAAAGAGGAAGGCAGAAGACAAGAAAATTCAAGCCATGGCTGCTGAAATTGAACAGGAAGAGAAGCGCAAGGCAAAGGCTGCTAGTACAGCGTCAGCTAAGGCGCCCACAGGATCCCAGGCACCATCAAACTCGCAAGGCCCCAGGCCTGAGGATGAACTCTGGACCACAAAGTATGCACCAACGTCGATGAACATGATCTGTGGCAATAAAACCGCTGTCGAGAAACTACAAAGTTGGCTTCGGGATTGGCACAAGAATGCCAAGGGGAACTTCTCGAAACCTGGTAAGGATGGCACTGGAATTTACCGCGCGGTCATGATCCACGGTCCTCCAGGAATCGGTAAAACAACCGCAGCACATCTTGTGGCGAAGCTCGAAGGCTACGATGTCGTCGAAACGAATGCCAGTGACACGAGGAGCAAAAAGCTCGTTGAAACCGGTCTTTTGGGTGTCTTGGATACAACGTCCCTGCAGGGTTATTTTGCCGCTGACGGCCAAAAGGTGCACAGAGAAAAAAAGAATATGGTATTGATCATGGATGAGGTAGATGGAATGTCAGCTGGAGACCGAGGTGGTGTTGGGGCGTTGGCTGCTATTGCAAAGAAAACTCACATCCCACTCATCCTTATATGTAACGAACGTAGGCTTCCGAAAATGAAGCCTTTCGATCACGTTACGTATGAACTACCCTTTAGACGTCCGACTGCTGAACAGATCAGGGCTAGACTCTCAACGATCTGCTTCCGAGAGGGTTTGAAGATCCCGCCCCCTGTTCTCGATAGTCTCATCGAAGGGACGCATGCCGACATTCGTCAAGTTATTAATATGCTGTCGACTGTGAAGTTGGATCAGCAAAATCTGAATTTTGAGAAGGGGCGGGAGATGTCCAAGGCCTGGGAAAAGCATGTCATTCTGAAGCCCTGGGATATCGTATCCAAAATTCTCAGCGCTCAGATGTTCTCTCCAAGTTCCAAAGCGACGTTGAACGACAAGATCGAACTTTATTTCAATGATCACGAGTTCAGCTACTTGATGCTTCAAGAGAACTACCTGAGAACAAGGCCAGCCTTGTCCGGTAATTATCAAGGCAAAGAGCAAAAGTTGAAGTTGCTCGAGTTAGCGGATAACGCAGCGTCAAGCATCAGTGACGGTGACCTGGTTGACAGAATGATCCACGGAACACAACAGCAATGGAGTCTGATGCCAACCCACGCTGTCTTTAGCTTTGTTCGTCCCGCCAGTTTCGCTTACGGCAATATGACCGAGCGAGCTGGCTTCACTAGTTGGCTAGGTCAGAACAGCAAACAAGGTATGTATGCTTCAACCCCTTACATATCTATTTTGCTAACAGAATAACTACAGGGAAACTTTGGCGTTGTACCAAGGAAATCCAGGGCCACATGCGCCTTCGTGCCTCCGGGGACCGTGACGAAATCAGACAACAATATCTACCCCTTATCTGGGACAAGCTTGTTCGCCGGTTGATGAAAGATGGAAAAGAAGGTGTTGAGGACGTCATTGATTTTATGGACAGTTATTTTCTCACCCGGGATGACTGGGATGCTCTGGTCGAGCTTGGTCTTGGCCCTATGGATCAATCAATGGTGAAATTAGATACACAGACGAAAGCGACATTCACACGACTCTATAATCAGCGCTCGCATCCACTTCCCTTCATGAAGGCCAGCAGCGTCGCTGCTCCAAAGAAAATGCCAAAGGACAAGCCCGATATTGAAGATGCCATCGATGAGTCGGATGATGAAGTGCTCGAGGATGATTCCAAAGAGGATGATGAAAGTGAAGAACTAGACCTGAAGAAGGACAAATATGTCCGGGTACCAAAGAAACCCGCCTCGAAATCCGCGGCGAAGGGCGGCTCAGGCAAAGGGAAGAAGGCTAAGAAGGCCGCCGACGATGATTTTATTGATGATGACGAGAAACCGAAGAAAGGGAGAGGTCGCAAGGCTCAGGCTTAATGCGTCTCATTCTTTCATCGTGGACGTTTGGTGAGATAAACCTCTCCTTCTGGAAACCACACCAGGGGATGGGACAATGTCTGTAATGGTCATTAGTTGTTAGGGACTTGTATTATATTAGAACGATGACTATGTTAAATCAAACACCATCATTTTGTGCCAATAATTTAGCAGTCAATCTAAATAATATAAACACATAATCTACGAAGGATCGGCGGCGCATTATCTACATCCATGTTTCTTGGCTGATCTGCGGAGATTGTCTTGGGAGAACCCGCAATTTGCTGCTCTTCCTTCTCCGCTACTCAGCACTAAACCTTCGCCAACTCCCTTCACGACCATATCGTTTCTTCCTTGTTTATCTTCCCTTTACTCTACATCGGGCTGGTCCTGTTTGAGAACGAACCTTCATTTGATCACTCTGTTGCTGACCACGTTCAGCGCATCTATTCACTCTCAACGCAGTACTTAAGAATCATGCCCAGACGAGCACCACCAGCGACTATACGGTGTCTACCTTAAATCCACAATATTCTTGATCGCTGCCAAAGTTCGATATCTATATCCTCTCAACATCTACTCAAAACCGTGGGAAGATGTCTCTCCTTCACAATGAAGAGTACGTCTAGTGATCCGCACCTCGCAGCTGCTCCCACCACCTTCCCCGCGATCGCCCTTCATACCAAGAATTTAGTACTAAAAGAATTGTAGTTTTACAATATGGCAACTGCGCACCTCTTATCTATCCACGATAAAAGACGGAATAGGCGACAGACTCATCAACGTGAATAACTCGGTTCTCAATACTCCTGGATTTCGCGCAGCGGGCTGGTCCTCGGCCTCAACAAACCCCAGCGCACAAAGCGTAGCAGCCCATATTCGCCGGACATATTCTCCTCCAATTCCCACCACCGCTGCGGTTACTTCAGAGTATTACCAACTGGGTGTTTCTAGGGATGCGAACGAAGCCCAGAGACTTGGTTTAGGGGAGGATGGCGAGGAAGATGAAGGGGGCATGGTGACGGGCAAAAGCTCTACAGAAGTGATAGGACGCCGGCCCCATGGACGTGCTGGGAAAAGAACCCATCGGAAGGAGCGACAGCAAAATGATTCTTATAAACAAAGAGATGCAGAGGAGGATGACAGCAGTGATCTGAGTGATGAGAGCGACGATGATGTGGATAGTCAAAGGTTGGTCGATACGAGTGATTTGAGGTTCTTATGTTCTCAGACTGCATTCTTGTGCTAAACCATTGCAGGGCTTCCCAACAGATCAAATTTCCTAAGCTGCCAATACGGACACGAGCCGGATCCTCTCCAATACGTTCAACTGATCGTCAAGAAGGCCCACAAGTTATGGTCACATCTCCCTCTCACCCCACGATGGGCATGCATTACCGCACGGGATCGCTAGGAACCGCTGTTAGTGTGAATGAGCGGCCACGGCGAGATACAACCACTACCGCCAGCAGCGATATGTCTTCGGATAATGAAATGGGCTCCTTGGTCTCGCGGAAGCAGATTCAGTTTTCTGGTCAGGATCAGGTTATAGAGTTGGCTAGTAACAGGCGCAGGGGAGCTAGTAGTAGGAATCTTGGAGGACTAGATGAGCATCCGGAAGATTCGGGAGCTGAGTCCGAGGACTCGGCACTTTCATCCGATTTCGATGCCACGGCTGGTTCTGCATCGCTCCTGGTGGGCGTCGGTATCACTGGAAGCCTAGATTCATCGTCGCCTATGATGATGCATAAGTTGCCGAATGGAACAGGATCTCAAACAGCATCTCCTAGGAAGGCCAAAACACCGGCTCCCGAATTGCAAGATTTGCCTCCGCCGCGGCCCATTAGCACAGTACAACCCGTTAGTTTGCTATCGAAGGCACTCAACGCGCGCAAACGCGCACCGACCAATCCGGTCGAGAAATTTGCGGTGCTCTCGGGCAAAGGCCTTACTGATGCATTGAATATCAAGTTATACTTACCGTTTTCTTCTGACCCGGAAGAGCCGATTGACCTTCCTATTGCCCGAGAATCTAAACTCGCGGAGCAACCAGCTCCCGTCACCGTGGTTGAGGCGATCGGTTTGGCGCTCTGGCGATACTCGGAAGAAGGTCGCCAACCTGCCATTGAACGTAACAAGTTGACTGTTAACCGATGGGCGCTTCGAATGGTGGAAGATGGCGAAGTGGAATACGACTTTCCCGCCTTAGGACGAACGTCACAGATTACGGATTTTACGTCGAATAACAATCGAGCAGCTGGGGCACGAGGTCGAGGGAGAGGGAAACAGTACGATGAATTTGCCCTGGTGGAGGCTTCCGATAGTGAATTTGAAGAGAATGAACGCCAATTCCCCACGGAGAGCCAGGCAGTTCCTCCTGAAGACACCAATGATGCAGCGTCAGCTCTCAATGTTCCCTCCGCCCAACCAACTTCTCAAAATAAAGCGCCTCGACCCAATCCGATCTTAGGGCAACCGTTCTCGTCGGCCCTGAATGACAATACGCTCACCCCGGCCGATCGGCCTGCGGTGCCAACGTCGCATGCTACGCCGCGTCTGGGGGTCTCGAAGACCCTAAAGATCCGCTTCATCAATATCGAAGGCTCTACGCAAGTCACGACTCTCAACACGTCCACTGACAGCTACATCGCGGAGATATTGGACTCGGTATGCAAACGCTGGGGCTTAGATAAGGGGAATTACCTCCTGAAGGTGATGGGATCTAATACGATCGCGCCTTTAGACCGCACCGTGGAAGCTCTGGGAAACCTTACCGAGCTGGATCTCGTGCGCCGGCGATTTGGGCCCCAGTCTTTGACTGGCTCTCCGGGCAGCTCGTCCCCCAATGCACCGCTTCAAATTGACAGTGGCACTGTGCCGTCGAGCAAGAAAGGGAAGAAGGGCGGGCCGCGCATGTTACATCCACTGGCGCAGCAGCAGGACCTCATTGGGGGCTACTATCGCCGGTACCACGTGTTCCGCAAGCAATCCATGTCTTTCACTGCCTCGAACCACAAGATTCTCACGTTTGACAATGACTACATGCACATCATGCCGGGGGATACTGCGAAGACTGGATCGGACACCAAGACCCGGTCGATTAGTTTCAACGACGTCGTTGGATGCAAGGTGAGCCGTCGCCATCCCAAGAACTTCCGGGTGGTTGTGCTTCGCGGCAACGATGCGAACGAGCAGAAGCGATATGACTTTGAGGCGCGGAACGCACTGGAAGCGGTGGAGATCGTGGATGAAATCAAGAAGAACATGGCACATTATCGGATTTAGCCTCTTTCCCATTCAATCGGGGACATCTCAGGACGACATCGAGACGATTGATTCTGTGAAACGATATATCATTTACTGCATAGAGACAGGCAATACCCAAGACATGATCAAGTTCTAGATGTGTCGGCGTAACCTTTCGTAGTTTCAACCCAACATAAGGACCACACCCATTAAAAAAGCGACATTCTATATCGAGTATTTTCTCCATATCTGACTTATTTCATTTGGAGGTATTACTATTAAGTGGGCATTGGACACTACCTACTGAAGCTCCAGCGAATCCACTACTAATCGAGTTAACGGCCGAGAAGGGAAATCTCCGAAGAGCGGGGCGTTCCGCCGATCCACTTGTCTTTGAATGATGAGGTCACGATGCAGGACTAGTCCCGTCTGGTTAGTACTTCCTGAACAGTGCCCAACTTGTGGTATCATTTTGATGGACTGATGGGGAGAGAGATACTAGTAGGTTATATGGAGTAGGATGTGGTCTGACCATGAATTATGCATCGAAGAAAACGGGCAATTCTATACCGTTTCGTGGTTTTGATGCGACACCAGATTACTACTAGTAGGAGAAAGTATACTCTGTATCTACTTCGTCGGGTATGATAAAGTGGTGATCTCATAGGGCCGGGGAGCGGAAAGCTTGAGGGTCTCTCTTATCCACAGTGATCTTGATGATTCATTATCTCTGGTAGTTATCGATTGATTCTATGTTCTATGGATTATTTGACTTCCGTTCATGGGGATGGATATGACTCGAATGACCCCGGACAGAGGGAACGTAGCGTTCATTGGATCTCTTCCGAGTGGTCATCCATCCCGAGTGTCGTGATCTTCGACAACTAATGTACGGATTTTTGGATTGTTGATGAAACATCCATTCTACTGAGAGGGGTTTCTTTTCCTTTCCTTTCTTATTTTTGTCTTAAACTTCAATTTTTAATTTTTATTCCTCTTTTCTATTTTCCTCCATATGGGAGAAAAAAAAAAAAAGCAAAAAAGTGGGGCTGGTTTGAGATGTGTTTTTCTTCTCATAGATTATGTTTGGCGGGTTTCGATGTATAACTTGTGGTGGTAAAAAACCATTGATGTTGGGGTCTGCATGTAAGAAGCTACAGATTAGGTATAGAGAGAAAGAAAGAGACGTAGAGTGAGAGAGAGAGAAGAGGAGACTCACAGACAGATGCATTTCCGATAAATTAGAATCGCCCCCCCGCGCTTTGCTCTTCTGGGTCAATTTTCCTCTCCGCCCAAACAACCAAACTAATTAACTGCATCTCGAATCATTACTCTTCCTCTTCTTCCCTACGGAACGTTGACGTTTCAATTTCCCCTCCCTCGATTATCGTGTCTTGGCTGAAAGTTTCACCGGGTTTGAACGACAAAAAGCAAATCAACTAACGGAGGAAAAACACGACGAAACACAACCACTAGAGCCGTTTGACACGAGTTCGTCTTAGAATTTGTTTGAATTCCAATTGCAAGCTTGGGGTTGACCGCTTCTCGGTGACTACGGCGAAGTCCCCCCCGTTGTATCCGCTGCTCGGAACCGTACAAAAAAAAAAAAGAGGCGTAACGTTTCGTTGCTGGCGGTTTTTCCCCTCCTTCGCAAGGAAGCAAAAAAAAGGGAAGATCGAAAGAGGGGTTGAGCTTGATTCCTGAACCCTCTTTTTTTTAATCCCATTTCGCGTGAATCTCACAAAAGTCCCATCTACATTTTGGGGGTTTATTTTGATTCTTTTTTTTTTCTCCTTGAACCCTTTTCCCCATTTTGTTTCTTTGTTTTTTTTTCCTGATCTCACAATCAGGTAATATTTTCTTTTTTAGTTCTCCATGCCGAGCTTAGGAGGCTTATTGAAGAAACGGCGGACCAAGGATTCGCAGACCCTCAGTAAAGAGCTTGAAGCCGGTTCGTCACCCACAGCGGCCCAGACGCAGACGTCACCAAACCAGAATCACCACAGCCACCAATCCCATCCCACTACTACTGCCACCTCCCCCGACGCTGCTTATACCTCTGCGCAACCTCACCAATCGTCCCACGATCATCACAATCGCTCTTCAGGCACTAATCGAAGCCACCCCGAGGGTCAACCATCCTCCATGCAATCCGCCGTGACGCAATCACCCTCGGCCCACCATCACCATGGTCACCACCACAACAACTCTCATAATGTCGCCAGTATACAGAATATAATTCATTCATCCCATCAGAGCGGCCAGTCGGTCGGCGGAGGTTCTCAACAATCGCAGACCCGAACCACAAAGGGCAAGTACTCTCTCGAAGATTTTAGCCTCCAGCGCACGTTGGGCACCGGTAGCTTTGGTCGAGTCCATCTTGTGCAGTCTAAGCACAACCACCGCTTCTATGCCATCAAAGTCTTAAAGAAGGCCCAGGTGGTCAAGATGAAGCAGATTGAGCATACTAATGACGAGCGACGAATGCTCAATCGCGTCAGACATCCGTTCTTGATCACCTTGTGGGGCACATGGCAGGATTCGCGAAATCTGTACATGGTCATGGATTTTGTCGAGGGAGGTGAACTCTTCAGTCTGCTTCGCAAGTCTCAGGTGGGTGATCCTCTCCCGTCTTCATTGCTCCGAAATGTACGCTGACCCGGGGGGGGTCCCCGTCTAGCGATTCCCTAATCCCGTGGCCAAGTTCTACGCCGCGGAAGTCACTCTTGCGCTGGAATATCTGCACTCTCATCAGATTATCTATCGAGATCTGAAGCCGGAGAACTTACTTCTCGACCGGCATGGTCATCTGAAGATCACAGACTTCGGTTTTGCGAAGGAGGTGCCCGACATTACCTGGACCCTGTGTGGCACGCCCGATTATTTGGCTCCCGAGGTTGTCTCATCCAAGGGTTACAACAAGTCGGTGGACTGGTAAGTCTTGCTGTCCGATCATATCCTGGGAGCACTCATATAGGGAATCCCGCTGACATGGCGAAGGTGGTCCCTTGGAATCCTGATCTTCGAAATGCTGTGTGGCTTCACACCCTTCTGGGACAGCGGATCGCCGGTCAAGATCTATGAAAACATTCTACGAGGTCGGGTAAAATACCCACCTTACCTGCACCCGGATGCCGTGGACCTACTCTCCCAACTGATCACGGCAGACCTAACCAAGCGCCTGGGTAACTTACATGGTGGCCCGGAAGACGTCAAGAATCATCCATGGTTCGCCGAGGTCACCTGGGACCGGCTGGCCAGGAAAGACATTGATGCTCCCTATGTACCACCGATTCGGGGAGGACAAGGTGATGCAAGCCAGTATGACCGCTACCCGGAAGAACAGGAAGCCTACGGTCAAGGCGGCGAAGATATGTATGTGCAACCTGCTCGGCGTATTTTCTTCCGTATTACTGACGATCACAACTTAATTTAGTCACGGCCATTTGTTCCCCGACTTCTAACTTTTTCTACGAGTCATGATGAAATGATCATTTCACCATAGCTGTCTAGAGTAAAGGCAATGGAGTACCTCTATGCAAAGACATGGAAGTCATGCCTTATCTTTTAGCCTGGTTGACTGGGCCACCGAAATAGCAGCAGTGAAAAACAACCATGCTATTACTTTTACATATTTGTCTTCTCGATCGGTTCGATTGTCTGGATGATCGCTGGCCGACTTGACCTTTGGATTTCTCTGTTTCATCGTTTTATTGGAGCATCTACCTTTGTATATCTGATGCGGGCTTCCCACGCTTCCGCATTCCACGTACCTCGGCCTCCATTGATATGGATTGCTTTCACGAGCATCGAGGCAACTGAATCTCCAGTACTTGTGTTTGGTTTTGAAATAAGGATCAGGTGCTCTCGGGGTTGGTTCTACTCCGGGGTCTCCCGCCGAGTCGATCGTTTGCATCGACTGGACTGTTTTGTTTCTCGCATCGTGGTTTTATAATAGTTACAAGTATTGGGATGCTACTTGGTTGCTTCATTCATTTCTCTTTTTGGAGACCTGTATAATGTACATATCTTTCAAATGCAATAAAAGTAGGCTATGAACCTGTGAATACCGCATCTCTTAGTATGCTTCAAGACACGCTGTCTGTGGACCCCTGTCTGCCACCACAGATCCGTTGCCGTTGCCTTCCAACCCGCCCGATAGGGGACACCCAATCTACCGCAAAGCGCGCGCCGTTATCGTACACCATTCCAACTATACATCCCCCAAGTTATGAAAGGAGAAAAAAGGCGATAAAAAAAAGTTTGCAGGAGGCCCACGCTGACGTCCATAAGAAATTTGAGAAACCGATCGCGCTTCCGATTACCATCTATAGAATACTTCCAATTGCCTATAAACCCCAACGCTAATTTACAGGCTGGTGTCGGTGGGAGTAGCCATCATGGCGAGGTTCTCAGCACCGCCGAGACGCTTGCTTTCGCGGGAGACACGAGAGACGTAGGTACGGCTGGCGGTGTTCCAGAAGGAGATGTACTTCTCCATGCACTGAGAGAGGCAGGTCTCTTCCTTGGGTGTGATGGAGGAGCCGGGGGCGGGAATGCAGGCGTCGAAGCAGTGCTCATTCACTTTCTATACTGTTGTCAGAAACTAGACGCTGACCGCAAGCGAGAAACTGGACATACTCCGATCAGATTTCGAGCATTGGCCATGGCAGCCTCTTGCTGGAGCTGCTTGATGATGGCAGTCTTGACCTCCTGCTGGTTGGGAGCAGCATTGTTGGAGCCGGAACCGAAGAGAGCCATTGTGTTGGTGTATTGAGATATGAGACCAAGGGAATGAAGGCGGAATTATGCGTTTTGCAGGGAAGGCAAATCAGCGATACAGTAATTGTTGAGGTCACGGGCCGGTCACAGGATCTGAACCTCAAAGTCCGCGGGCGATGGCCGACCTGTGGCTGATGCGCGTCCGTCCGCCGGGGCTGACTACGCCACAGTTGCGATGTGGACACTTGTTTGCATGTTTACTGACGTCGATCTCTGACCAGTCTACATAGTATTCCTTTCTGACAGTTTGCTTCGGCACCGCTCTTCTTCCATTCCGTTCTTCACTCCTTCGTTCTCTTTCTGACATTCCTCTCTATTATTCTCCGGTCGTCGACCTGCCGTTCGATTGACTTTATCCTCCGTCTCTTGCAATTGAGTTCGGAGCTTGTGCATGTCCCGGTGACATTGAACTATCTACGCCTTGCTGGTGGAGAGGACCCGATTTCGTTAGCTGCAGTCCGTCGTTCATAGTTATCATAACCTACCTGCTTTCACGGTCGTTTGTATCTGCAGCTTGTTAAAGCTCATTACCAATTCCTGCCTCACAATGCTGCTCCCGCGGCTCTCTTCTCTCTTGTGTCTTGCCGGCCTGGCGACTATGCCAGTGGCCAATGCTTACGACGGCGACGAGAACATCAAGAGCATTCCAGTACGCCTGCACACCCACTCGAGCGTATGACGGTCGCGCACTAACTAACCGGGTCAATAGCTTCGCACTCACAGTCTCGCTCCGGTGGGTCCCATCCTATAACTCATTCACAGCAGTTTCGACTGGGTCGATTTCCGCGCTTTTGGCACAGCCCTGTTAACGCGATGACAGCCATACCTGGATTCAGACTTCCAAAGCCGCTGGTTCGATTTTGGTGGTGACACGATAATCCGCGCAGACAAGTACTTCATCCCACCCACAATGCGATCTCAGAGGAGCAAGGGCTGAACAATGGCAGATACATCCGTCTTACGGCCGATCGACCCTCGCAGCAGGGATGGATCTTCTCCCGTGTTCCCCTTACTGCGACAAACTGGGAGGTCAGTTCGTCCTGTCGGCTATAATGACGAAGACTCGTTTCTGACATGTGTGTAGATCGAGGTCGAGTTCAAGCTTCATGGAAATGGTAATCTGCACGGCGATGGCTTTGCCATGTGGCTTACCAAACAGCGCGCCACGCAGGGTCCGGTCTTTGGATCAACGGATAACTTCGAGGGTCTCGGTATCTTCTTTGACACCTACAAGAACAACCGTCCCGGTACCTCGTTCCCTTACGTCATGGCTATGATGGGCGACGGACAGACCAGCTACGACCAGGCGCATGACGGCAAGGCCAACGAATTGGCCGGTTGTTCTGTAAGTACTTAAAATCAGAGTAACGCAAATATATGCTAACAAGATTAGGCCCGTGGTCTGCGAGGCGCTTCGATCCCCACCAAAGCCCGTTTGACGTACTTCCAGGACAAGTCGTTGACTCTCGACCTGCAGTACAAGTCTGAGGACAGCTGGACCAACTGCTTTACCCTGACCGCGCCCGAGACCAACATCGCTATCCCGTCCGTCGCGTACCTGGGCTTCTCTGGCGAGACCGGTGAACTGAGCGACAACCATGACATCGTCTCGGTGAAATCGCAGAACCTTTACAGCGTTGGACCTTCCAGCCGATCTAGCCGTGGACCAAACGCCGACAGCGGCCGCGTCAAGAAGACCAAGAAGAGAAAGGGAAGCTGGAGCGGGTTCCTGTTCAAGACTGTTCTGTTCTTTGTTGTTGTTGCAGGCTGCTATGTTGGGTTCACCATGTACCGGAACAAACAGAGATACTCGAGGTTCTAAGCGATGGCGAGGGAAGATATTCAGGAAAAAGAAAGAAAACCCAAAAAAAAAGAATCAGTATGGTGTTCTGTTTCTACGTGATTGCATAGCCGTGTTGTTACTTGGAGATTCCAATATATTGTGACGAACAAAAGTTTCACGAGTCCTACAGTTGATGAAGTATGCGAATTTGGAGCTTTATATCAGTCCAATGAAAATTATGCGCTTATCACGAATGTCATGAACAGGCCCAACATGGATAGTAATCTTGTGTTTTATTTCTATACATTCACTTCAAGATCAAAACACTGAAATATTCTTCCTCCTCTTTCCCCTATCAAACTATTCAGCTAATATAAGATCTTGAGTCTAGATTCTTGAACTCAAGAATGGCATGGCATCTACAACCGAACCCTCAAGGGTGTACCTGGACTGCTGTATGATCTAGATTACATCAAGTCACTGGAGAACTCAGCTCCTGGTATAGCTGGGTTATTGGGCATGCCGACAGTTGAGCCATTACATCAGACCATGAAATCAGCAGATACTGTGGCTATAATTGACAACTTTTGTGGAAGCCCGCAAGAACAACTTCGGCGCGACGACTGTACCTCAATTTACATTGCAAGGCATCATGTCTATTGCCGCAGACACCTCGTTCTATCAACATCTACTAAGTGGTCATGCACCATCCTTGGATAGTCAATCCAATAAGTTGATAACAGAAGTAGTAGTAGTCCAATTCTCAACCAGGGTATCATATATATGGAAACACAAAACGCCACCACAATGCAAATCTCAACACCAACCAATCGGGGTATACCAGCTCACAGCTGCTGCTTCTCCTTCATCTCACTCCACAAACGATCAATAATCTGAAAAACTTCCGTGACACTGCGCATAATCACCTCATCAATCCCCAAAGCTCCATACCGATGCTGAATCTTATCCGGATGCCACCGCACCCGCTCGGCCTTCAAAACCGCCAGCAAACCCTCCCCCGGCGCATGGCGCATAAACTCCTCAACCGTCTCCCTACTCACGTCCCCCCTCTTCCCCGACTCAACTGGCCAAAAGATCAAATTTCTCAACCTAACCCCCTCCCCGCCGCCACCATCCCTAACCTGATCAACAGCCCGATCAACCTCTCCCCAAGACCGCACATACTCCTCCCAAACCCGCCCCCAAGCCTTAACCCTCCGCCTCTCCTTCCCCCGCCTCAAACTCTCCTCCATAGCCCTCTCAAACCGCATCTTCTCCCTCATATCCTCCTCCCTCCTCTCCTCCCGTCTCTTCTGCCTCGCCTTCTCAGCCCTCAACCGCTCCTGTTCAGCAAGCATCCCCTCCCTAGTACGCTCCCACATCTTCGTCCGCACATAACTGGCATACTCCTCCTCATCCATCTGCTCCAGCTCCCCATTAGGTCCCTTGGGTACATTCGGAACGGCATAATTGTGAATCGGCTGTCCATACACGGATTCCCAATACGCGGCGCCTTCGTCGTCGCCTAGGGCATCGAAGAGAGATTCACGGAAGGCTGCGTCGGCGTTGAGGCCTGGTTGTTGTTGTTCATTGTCTGAGTGGATGGGGTTTGGTGAGGCTGAGCGCCGGCGATGATGGCGTTTCGATCTGTGGCGGTGGGAGGCATGTCTGTGGCTGCTATGACGATGGGTGGAGGTTGTGTCGTCTCGTCGAGACCTGGACTTGTCTTTTGAGGTTTTGAAGCGGAATTTACCTGGTTTGGGTTGCTTGTCGGGTTCTTGGGTTGGGTTTGTTTCTGGGGGGTCCATTGTTTTTGGTTGTTGTGGTTTCTGATGGTTTCGAGGGCATGTGGCGAGAATTAGCTTATGGCATGGTTTCTTTTCTATTAAAGGATCGATATCAAGGTGGAGAATGAAATGAAAGAAATATGCGAAATGGAGTTTTGCGACGAAGAATGTAATAAACACCAAGCGTTGAAATGCTAAGGTGAAAAGAGATGAGTAAGCCGATCTTTTTCTTATCTTATCTGATTGATCATCGGTTATGGGATGTGGTTTGGATGATGTCATTCTTGTCTGGGTTTGTTTGGTCAGTCTCTTGTGTTTCTTTTGTACTCCGTAATTAAGTCTAGGTCACGGTCTCCCGGAACTGAGATATGCTTAGTGTGATAAAGGTTATGAGGGTTTCGTTCATGGATTTTGTGTAGCTAGTCTATGTCTGGAGGTCGGAGTGGTTACTTTCGCTACGGTTGTTCTCCTTCTTCTATTCTTCCTCATCTCTTTACGCATTCCCTTCGCTCATCAGTTGTGTACTAATCGAAAGTATACATTTGATGTACATCATGACTATATGCCATAGAAATAACAAGCGGATGCAGTCACCAAGTATACAAGCGCAACCAAGATACCACCAACGAACCCCTAGACAGTGGACACATTCATTCAAGGAAGAAAAAGAAGATCACTTCGAAATCAGATCAAATACGCAACTAAATTTTGAATCGCATTCTTAGACAAAAACCCCCATCCCAAAGCCAAGCCTCGCAGTCAACAGACATAAACTAGGGTTTCGGCCTGAGCCTCTATGATTAAATACAATGGCCCGTGCAGTACATTCAATACGGTAATAGAACCCCGATATTCCTTCCGCCTTCATCGCCGCCATCAATCAATTACTTTACTCCCATCAACCTCCAACCTCTCCCCATCAATCTTCAATAACAGATATAAAAAAAATAAAAAGATGGCTCTAGTATCCTACAGCGACTCCGAAGCCTCCGACTCCGAGCCCGAGACCACCACAAAGCCAACACCCCAAACCACCACAACCACAAAACCTACCAGCACCGCCGCCCAAAAACCCAAACTCGTCGATAGCAGCAACCCGCGCAAGATCCGCGTCGCGCTGGACCTCAAACCGGAAGAGACTAAAGACAACGATGATGGACCCGCGCGGAAGAAAGCCAAATTAGGTGGCGGGGGAGCGTTCACCGGGTTCAATTCGTTTTTACCTGCGCCGAAAAGGGCTGCTGCTCCCGCCGCGGCGGAGAAGAAGGGTGCTGTTGGGGCGGGGCGGAAGGTGTTCAGTTTGAAGACTGGTGCTGCGCCGGGGTTTGATCGCGGGTTGGATGAGGAAAGTCGGAATGAGTGGGCTATGGAACAGGCGGGTTCGAGTACTCCTGGTGGTGCGGGTGATGATGATGATGGGACGATTCCCAAGGCTGGGAGTTTGAGGGATGATGGTGGCGAGGGTGGGTTGCAGATGGAGAAGCCGGAGGAGGTTAAGTTGAAGGGGAATCCGATGATGTTTAAACCGTTGTCTGTTGCGCGGGGGACGCAGAAGAAGAAGAAGGTTACTTCGTCGAAACCGGTCGAGACTGCTGCAGAGGTTTCGCAGAGTGTGAAGGACCCAGTATCGGAACAGAGTAAGCCTGCTGCTTCTACTTCTGTTCCTGTGCAGCCACCTGCGCCGAAGCCGAAAGTGAGTCTTTTCTCGCTTGGGTCGAGTGAATCTGCGACGAGTGCTGTCCCAGGTCTTCGGGCGCAGAGCGCAACATATGAGTCATTGGTGTATACTGCGGACACGGATGCGTCTGAGGCCGGTCCAGAGGTAGAGCGCGAGCCTCAGGTTCCGGCTGTGTCGTCGGAACCAGCAACGACGCAGACGTTGGATAATATCGCGGATGATCTGAACCTTTCGCGATCTCAACGACGGCACCTTTTTGGTCGCAATACTGACGCCTCGAAATCGCGTATCCTCCATTTCAATACCGACAAGGAGTACATTGCGAACCAAGAGATGGCGCATCAGACCGATATGGCGGCGCTTCAGCACAATCCGGTCCGTGCCATTGCCCCTGGAAAACACACGCTGCAACAGCTGGTCAATGCGGCAAGTTCCCAGCGGGAAGCTTTGGAAGAGAGTTTTGCATCTGGAAGAAGGAACAAGAAGGAGGCTGGGTCGAGGTATGGCTGGTAAATTATGTTTTTTTTTTATGTCTCTCAAATCGGATACCAATTTTGTATATGTACAAATCAAATTTGCATGGAGGAATAGGAGTTGTGGATTTTTGGGTAGGTACTACTTGGTTTTCTGGAAGTAGTATGAAAGTCAATAAGATCTTAAATTTTATCGAGTATTCACATATAAGAAGACTATATACATGTAACAAAAGGAAAGCTCTTTTCTATAACCATACCCAAAAGATCAAAATGCAACTTTTAAGAAGAAACATCAACAACCTCCGCAAACCATTGCTTCAACGCCGTAGCCAGAACAGCGGGTAACTCCCGAACGTCACGTACAACCAGATAGTAAGGGAATGGGAAACCTTCCAGATATCTCTTCATCTTCAACTTCATCTCCCCAGTACCACTCTCCGTATCAGGCTCGAAGCTTGCCTGAGTGAGATCCAAGATGGAGCTGCCCTTGACAGCATCGACAATGATGAACACAATCATGATACGTTCTTCCTGGGCCTGCCGCACGAGACGCTGGATAGTCTCATGGTCTTCACAAATACCGTCGGAGATAATGAGCTCCAGTTGCCAAAGATCAGCATTGCCCGAGCCAGGTGATTGCTTCCAGCGAGCTTCGCGGAACAGGGCGATCGAATCGGCGATCAACTTCCGAACGTTCGTACCTGTCTGCTGGTAGCTGAAGTGCTGGAACACCTGCGTGCCGGCCTCGGAGGAGAATGGCTTGCCGAATTCATGTGCGACTCTGACGTGATCCTCGTTTCCGAACCCGAGGACACACAGGTCTCCAGCTTCAAGCATACTAAGACTCTTGGCAACGAGTGCAAGCGTTTCGAATGCCAATTGGCCACTTCCACTCTCTAACATAGACTTACTATCGTCGACAGCAAGCATAATTTGGTAGTTGCGCTTCGAAGGAATTGACCGTCGCATCCAAATCTTGTCTCGCTTGTACTGTGAGGCAATGTATGGAATGATGCGCTTGATATTCAGTCGCTTTCCTGTCCGGAAATCGCCACGCAGCTTGGTTGCCATGGTCGGGGCTAAGATCAGACGCAATTGTTCCGTTAACGAGAGGGAGAGATCGTTGGTGACAGATTCGTAATGGGACCAGAGCCGTTGAGCCTCGTCGCGAGGTGTAAGCGGAGGGAGCGAAGAAGACAGATGGATTGCCGCCAATTGTGCGTCTACCTCATCGAGTTCTTCAATGGCCTCCTGCTGGCCAGCGGCATCGACTGTTCGCTCCTGGGTGTGCGAGCTGCCAGGGATCAATGCACCGGCAGTTTGGTCCTTAGACTCACTAGCGGCATCCAGCTGCATCTCATCCTGCATCTTGTTCTCTAGGGTCTCCTGGGGCTCGTCAGAAACGTCTGGCAAAGGTTCGTTGTCACCATGCTTGGCATCCGACTCGACACCGTTATTTTGATCAAGAGCCTGTGTTTGCTCTTCATTAGCCTGACCAAGCGCTTGGGTATCAGCAACGTCATCTTGGTCTGCAAGATGCTCAAAATTGGCATCAGCCATGTCGGTATCCTGAGGCAACGGCTGATCTGACTCGCCCTCTTCCTGTTTAGAGGCCTCCATAATCTCCTTTTGCCGGCGATGCCACTGTTCGAGGATGTCGCCCATTTTCTTGAAGGCCTGCAACTGCGGATCGTTGCGGTTGCCATCATCCCCGCCGCCTGCATCTCTATGCCGCTCGTTGTCTTCTCCTTCGTTGGCAGCACCAGTTTTTTGTTGTTTATCATCAGACTGGTCAGCTGAACCACTCTCCTGCTCTGCATTTCCAGATGCGCCTTGGTCCATATTTTGATCTTGATCCGCACCGAGTCCACCATTAACTGCCTCGCTTGGTGCCACTTCTTCGCCAACCTCTTCGTTTTCATCACGTTGAGTTAAGAAATCATCCTGCTGAGCCTCTTCTGGTTCCTCTTCCCCGGGCTCGTTCGTCTCTTCGGCTTCGGCCTCTTTCATTTCTTCATCTTCAGCCGGCGCTTCTTCATCACCCTGGTCGCCCTCTTGCTCCTCTGCTTGTTGATCCAGATCAGGGTTTTCAACAGCCTCTTCCTCTTTCCCATCGAATGGCTGCTCATCTTCAGCAGGAGGAAGATCGTCGCCGAGATCATCGTCGAGGCCATCGTCACTCTCATTTCCTTCGTCTTTATCCAATTCATCGCCGTCAAGTTGCATCTCTTCCGGAAGGTCGAGAGCATCTTGTTCCTTGGCATGGGGGTCTGTGACATCCATCTCCTCGCGCCCAACAGCCTCGCCTTCATCGTCTGGGGCTTCTTCTTCCTCTTCTTCCTCCTGATCTTCTTCGTTCTTACCCTCCCCCTTTTCTCCTTCCTTCTCCTTGCGCTCTTGTGCAGCGGCTTGTTCATCAGACTCAGACTGTCCCTTGCCTTCTTGGTTCTCGGTCTCCTTTTGCTCTTCATCGTGGGCGCCATCCCACATCTTTTCATCAACTGCAGTTTCCTCAAGATCGTCAACACTGCCTACTTCTTCATCAATATTGTCATCCTCTTCGTCGCCGCTTGCGTCCTCTTCATCATCCTCTTTCTTGTGCTCGCCTGTTTCGCCACGTAATTCTTCTTGATCCATGTTCACTGCGTCTCCTGACTCGTCCATATCCTCGTTGGGCTCTTCAGTCTGTTCCTGTTGAGCAAGCTCTGACAAGTCTTCATCATCACCAATATCGTTACTGATATCTTCGGCTCCTTGTCCTTCGCCGAGACCAGTTCCACTCTCCAGCTTGCCGGATTTGCTTTCTTCCGTCGACGCTTCTGCGGGAGTACAGAATCCCTCAGACGCTATCTGAATGAATGACTTGGCCAGCAAATATGACATCTTGCATGTCTCACGGTGAACAGTCAGATAGCGATCGACGAGATCCTTACAAATGTTGCGATACTTGTTCATGATGGGCAACAAGCTTGCGACCAATGCGACAGCAGGAGCAAGGCCGGAATTTGAGCGTGTCTTAAGGCCTTGTAACTTATCCAGGACAGACTCCAGGGAGCTTGTAATGTCGGGCAAATGAACAGCCTTCAAAGCCCTGGTGAAGAACTCGTCGCTCCGTAACAATGAGCCCGGAGATACAATCAGTGATGGCACCTCCTTCAGCTTCTGGAGGCTGATGAGGATCTTGTCAATTGCTGTGAGTAGGCTGCCATCGAACTCCTCGATAGCGAGGGTATTCTTAGACTGCAACACCTCAGCTTGCTCAGCATTAACGTGGGCCCAGGGAGTTATCTGCATCAGGACGAATGACAGGTCAGGCCGGCTCTCGGCCCAGCCCATAAGGTCAGTGTTCAGCTTATCGAATGAGGAAGATGCTTCCTTTAGTGTCTCTACGTGCAGCTGTGAAGTTACGCCCTGAGGTAACTCTGGCAGACTACCCAGTGACTTTTGCAGTCTACTGAAGCCATCTTTCCAGGAGCGAAGGCCATCCACAATATTTGACGAGTTGATGCCGGAAAACTTCGAGTGTAGTTCCACAACTGTCATGGCGAGGCCAAGTATAGGGGTCAACCAGGCTACGGCTCTTGCCGTATCCCGAACCTCATTCGAAAATTGGGGGAGTGACTTAAGGACCGAGGTAGGGTGAAGTTTCCAAAGATTCGAAATCTTGACGAGTGTTGATTGAAGCGATTCCACGCCAGAAATTGCTGGAGATATCGCTGCTCGTTGTTTCCTAACCAAATGCAACAGATGCTCAACGGATCCTGAGCTTCTTGAAACTTCGACATTGCTGAGGTCTTCTGAGTAATTGTGCGCCGCTTGGCGAACACGGGGAAGGATATCCAGGAATCTGTGGAAATAGAGATCGGAGCTTCTGACGACGGTAGTGGTTGTTACAGAACCAACCTCAAGAGCCGGGCTGTTGGCAAGAACTTGTGCAACAGATGCTTGTGTTTCAATCAAGCTAGTGCTAGCATTACGCTTGACACCCATCTCTAGTAGCCGCCGCAGAGTATCGGCATAGAAGCGGCGCTTTTGAACCTTGAGATGTTGAACATCATCTTTGTTTTCCTCGGTCAAGGTCTTCGGTGTTTGGGATCGGAACTCCTTGATGCTTTCCAAGAAGTACTTCATGAAGCCATCGAGATCTTCCGAAACGTCAAACTCCGTCGAGATCGACACATACATATGAGTCATGTTGCTAACGGTGCCGTCAGGATCTCTGAACCGAGGCGGCCTATTTTGCCAGATTTTGTTTTCCTTCTGGCACAAGGCGAGCGCTTCTGGGAAACTTGCTGAGGGCAGAACCAATGCTTGGTCAGTGGGGCCAGGCTCCTCATTGTCATCTGGCATATCTTGCTCCAGGATATGTTGGGCAGGCTGAGCCAGGATTTCTCGGTATTTCCGGACCAGTTTGAACAGTTTATGATGCGATCTTTTCGCACTTTCTCGGAGCGCCACAATATTTGTATCCTTCCAACTGGCCAGTTGGATTTGTTCCTTGATATCTTTTTCAAGCGTCGACCTCCGCTCCTTGAGTAGCTTGTGTACTGGTGGCTCGAACTGTGTGTAATGTTGCATAAAGTTGTCTAGTGCGGACACCAGTTGCTTCAGGCAAGGGAAGTCCTGAACGTAAAGCGATAGCAGAGACCGGAAGTTCTTGACGAGCTGCAGGCGTTCGCTGTACTGACCCAAGGTGGTCGAGCGGAAGAAGTTCTCCAATGTGGCGATCACTTCTTGTGTATGTTCACTCAGATCCGTTTGACCAGATTCTGCCATCTGGACAGGAGCTCCAATGATGGCTTCGTACGCCACAAACCACCATTGGCTCACATCCTGGACGCATTTTTCTTTCTCGAGATCCAGAAGCCTTGCCCAGGTCGACAATTCGAGACGTCGCCAGTTAATGATCAAGTTTGTGATCTCGTCATAAACACCAGCAGCTGAGTACTCTCTGCTTGCAACAAGCTGCCACTCATGAACAAGGCCATGAAGCTTTTCGACCTTGGTGAGGAATTTTGCGACAGGCTCAGCATGCTTAAATTGGAGAATCTCCTTGCAACAAAGAATGACATCTGCAAGGACTGCATGTTCGGGCCAAGCGCTCTGGATCTGCAAGAAACGTGACTCTGTTGCCATTGCTAAAGATATAAGCTTTCTGCCTTCATCAGGATTTGTGTCCACATAGAAGTTGTACGTGTTCCTGGAATCATTTTCCTTGCTCACAGCATCCTCGAGCAACAAAAGAACACCAGAGAGATGATCCCTAGGATGCACCTGTGGTACTGAAGAATCGCCCTCGGACCACAGCGAGGCCAGCAGATGAGCAGATTGCCTCACATAGGTTGTCAGGACTCGCCCAGGGTCTTCTAATTGGAATAGGTTTGCGTGAAGTGAGGAAAGTCGGATCGAGATATTTTTGGGATCAAGACGAGTTGGCTTTCTACCATCATCAACGGGCTCCTCTTCATAGGTAGGGAAGAGCTCGCGCAGCTCATTCTCATCAACCTCCTCACTGTCCTCCCAGGATCCTCGGTATTGGTAAAGGCTCGATTTCTTTGCCTCTTCTTCTTGATCTTCCCGTAGCTTAGCTTTCCATAACCCATGGAACTGTTGGAACAGGCGGCGAAGAGCATTGCGCCCAACCTGGGTGTGAAGAATTCCCGGGTCTGCATTTTCGGCTACTCTCAATGATGACAGCTCGTGGAACCACATATCAATTGCATTCCTTGAGTCTATATTCGAATTCTGATGGTACAGATCCGAGAGAGGGTGATGAATGCCTCCAAGGAATGGGGTGCTTCCACTGATTGCATCCACCGCCTGCACATCACTTGACTGCTGTGATCTTCCTGACATTAGGAAAAGCCCCAAGTCCAGGATTTGAAGAAAGCGAACAACAGAAACGACTATGTCATCATATGATCTATAGTGAGTGCTGAGACGTCGGCTTAATTGGCGTATATTATCACGGAGTAGATTCACCAGAGTCTGAGAGTCTGAAGAGTTCTCACTCGCTACGCCAAGCATGTGCTTAGGGAGCCTTTCAAGAACCGAATTTATCACACTGGCAAATTCCCCGTGCAGGATGCTGAGCTCAGAGTCATGAGGTCGGGTAACCGATGAAGGAGGAGGAGCAGAACCAAGGTCACGCAATTCACCCTGTATGAGATCGTGCCGGACGTTCGAGGATTGGCCGGAAAACACACGTTCGAATGAAGTGATGGCGTTAGCTTTATTGGTAAGTTCCAAAGAACGTTGACTATGTCTTTTCCTTTGGACAACTAATCCCAACGATGGATCAAATGGCTTGTCTGGGACATAAAGCCGCAGGAGAATGGCAGCCAATTGAACTACAGCTGCTCCAGTGTCATGAATCGACTTGTCGCTCTTTTGTACTAAGTCAGTTGCCAACAATGCAACGAGGTTTGGAAGGGCTTGTTCTGCAAAGGTCTTGAAGTAATGATCGCTTGAGAGGCTCTTTTCTAAGCGGATATCCAACAACTCGGAATTGGCGCAGTAGCCTTGCTCTTCAACAGTGCGGAGAATAGTGACCAGTTTCTCCAGAGATTGAGGCTCGAAGAATTCCTTATGAGCGAGCAATAGCTCCATAGCTAGTCTCGATGATACCTGTCTCAGCACCTTGTGCTGATCCATAGCAATCTCCCAAGAAGATAGAGCCAAGGCTTTGGAAAGAGTTTGCTTTTCCACCTCCAAAGAGTCCATCTGGCCTAAGATAGTATCGCCAACATTCGTCAGTTTCTCTATCAGGGAGAGAGCGAAGGTACCACTGATGGCCGAACCGAACGTTGATGAGCGTTCAGACCCGGAATATAAAGCAAGTCTGTGGAGGACCTCGGGAACTTGTGTCTGGAAGGCCGACACATTCAATGGCCGTGCATCACGTCCAGCCAGTAACGGTAAAATGGACTTTATCACATTGTCGCCTGCTTTGTTGTTATGCATGAGAGTGAAAATGTCATGGTACTGGCACAATGCTTCGAATTCGTTGGAGAAGTATGGGGCTCCGGTTATATCAGAGCGTTGTACAACGCTTGCCAACTCGCTGACCGTCTGTCTGAGATTCTGTACTAGTTGCCCTTCATCGGCTCCATGCAGGACAATCGATTGTTGAGCGTTAATCAGAGAGTTGCGCACTTGACTTAATTGCGATAGATCAAGATGAGTCTTGGTCGCGATATTTGTAAATTCAGAAGCCACACTTTCCAAATCTAGGATCGACTTAAGCTGGTCTCCAGTTGCAGGGGTTGCAGGTCTCCACGACTCCCAGAGTCTTTGCATACTGAGCCCTGTTTTCAGGGCCCAGCTCTCTTGGAATCGACTCAGCGCTTGAGATAGAGCAACGGCTAATTGTTTCAGAGGTTCGAAAGATCTTGATAACGCAGCGCACAACTCTCTACCAATTTGAAGATAGACCTGAAATTCGCCCTCGTCGATGTCCCTCGCTGCAGTCAGTCCGAAAATGTCCATGCAGAAGTTGAGGACAGTACGAAGAGCGTTGGCTATGTGAGGGTTCTGAAGAGTATTCTGATCGAGATTCTGAATAAGGTCGTACATTGCCTGGCCACAGTCAGATAGGAAAGAACCAACTGGCTGTGTTGCATCCTTCATCAGTGAAGCTATCCGCGAGGATGCTAAAGAGCGTTCTATGCGACTCATCTGGCTGGGTTTTAGAAGCTTCCCGGATTCATCAGCCTGCAATAGACCTTGCTTTAGAAGTTGTAGGTCAAGCTTAGTCTCCTGTAGGTGTGCTAGGGTCACCAACGAAGTATAGGGTACTTCGCTACCCAATAATGAGACCAGCGGCTCGTTCACAAGAGGATGAAGGGGCTGCGAGGGGCCCTGAATGGCGAAGGAAGCGCGGCTCAGCTCAATGGCCTTCTGGGTACATTCGATGGGTTTCCAGTGCGAGTTTCCATGAATAACCGATACATATCGATGCATTGCCGAGGAAAGAACATCTCCCACGGATTTACCGTGATAAGGTAAGAAGTACTTCAATGACTGCTGTAAGTAGGCAAGGTCCATGACTGAAAGATGATCTAAGCAAACTTCACAGAGGAGCCTTGAGACATCATTAGCACTCGCCGAAGGATCGAGATTCCAGAGCGGCCGCAGACGGTATAAGAAGGATTCGCAGGTGTAGGCAGGCACCGAAGTGGTAACTGTAGCCTCGTCTTCCTGTGGCAAAAAGCATATTTCAACACAACGATTCCGCATTGCGCGGGACAATTCTCCATGGCGAGAGTCCATCGTAAGGAAAAGCCTGAAGTTCGGATGTGGTGTGATGATACGAGCTGATCCATCTTCAGTGCGTTGTTCATTCAGGATCAGAGCTCCATTTGGTTCGGTGAGGGAGTTCAACCTGTCGAGAACAGAGGGGTTGCACAGATTTGCATTGTCCAGGATAACCCAGTAGCCATGCTGTACAGCTTGAGTGAGGACTCCTTCCGTCCACTCGAAACCAACTTTCATTTTATCCGACTGCTTTGTTGTTTCAAGTAGAGTCTGGGCCCGGAGAAGCATATCATCAAAAGCAGTCTGTGGGTACGTCTGACTTAACACAGTAAGGAATGTACAAATGCTTTCAAGAGAGGCATTCGGGCTCTGCAGTTTTTCGAATATCTCCAATACAACCGGAGTCTCATGCAGAGCTGTTCCTGCTGAATTCATAGAAAGGATCTGTTGTTGAAGGAACAGCGAAATATCGTGAACGAGAGACGAAACCTCCCTTCGATAGTCGATTTGTTCAAAGCCACCAATCAGATCCATTGTATCGGTATCAGCACTGAGAGCTAACTCAACTAAACTTGCACCGTTCACAGCTGCGAGCTTTCTTATCAGGGTGGTCTTTCCACATCCAGATGGTCCCACCAAAATACTGGGCCACGACTGCTCTATACACAGCATAAGAGACTCGAGGATACTGAGGTCTCTTGGGAGGATTCTCATCTGCGATTCTTGGGTTCGTTGGAGGTATCGATCCCTCTGCATGATGCCAAGCCCAACTTGCATGTATTCTGGCGTAAGGTTATGGTAATAGCTCTTGTTGGGCGTCGGGACCTCGCTGAAGACTTGCTCATACAGGCGAGCGACCAGGTCTCGATCATCCTGGGAGCGGAATCTCTGTGATATAATTACATCAAGGAAGCTATTGGCCGATACCTGTAGGGTCCCACGGTCTGCCAACTGAAGCCACCTCTGAATGTCTCGCAAGTTGACTTCCCATGGTCCACCTACAGCCCCTAATCGGCGCTCATGGACAATAGCGTTGTTCAACAAGGACACGAAATCAACTAGCTTGTCTGTCTGCCAAGATGGACTTCCAGGGAAGAGCTTTGCACATATCCTTTTCAGGTCAGTGTCAGTAAAGCTGTCAGCATAAACGACTGTAAATCTGTTGACAAATGAGGCAGGAAGGCCCTTTCTACCACCACCTTGGTGATGCGGGTTTTGTGCAGCGAAGAGGACAAAGTCCGGGTGTCTCTTGAACGATTGATCTAATTCAGCAACATAAACCGTTTGACGATGATCCAAACAAGCATTCAAACCCTCAAGAACAGATTGAGATGCCAGGTTCATTTCATCTAATAGAACCCAATCACCGCGTTGCATTGCTTGCAAGAAAGGAGCGTCTCGCCAAGTGAATTGACCAACATCACCTCCTTCAACGGGGACGTCGGAGCCAAAAAGATCTGTGAGGTCTGTCTGCTCCGAAAGGTTGATACGTGTCAGAGGCTTTCCCAGTGCCTTGGCAAGAGCAGTCACGAGCGTAGTTTTGCCGACACCGGGGCTGCCTTCAAGCAGGATAGGTTTCGAGAGTTGCAAGCCACGAGCAATTCTGACTGAGTTAGCTATCGTGGTTGGTGCATCCAGGATGAATTGAGGGTCTGGCTCTGTGCTGCCGTTCATTTCAAGGGCAAAAGGTCCTACGCGTAGAGAACCGTTTTCAATATCAATGGTCGACTTCTGCAGGTAAATAGTTGAAGCATCGACATCAAAGAGTTCACGGAGCTTATCGAGGCACAGTCGACGGTTTCCTTGGAGATCATGCAGCGCTGTCGCAAGCATTGCTGCTGGGTTCGCACCCAATGTGTCTATGAACACCATAGCAGCGCCCTGTACTACTGCAAAAAGAGGATCTGCAGTTCGGCACTTGTTGACAAAATCGACCCAGGCAAGAAGATCACGAAGGGAAAGGGATGTAGTTGAGGAATTCTGGAAGGCACACTTGAACCACTTGGCAAACTCTAGCATTGCTTTGGTAATGTGCTCCGAATTCAGCTCAAGCTTTCTCTGGAGGATAGGGAGAATATCCTCATCTTCAGAGAGTTGAGGGGCCCAAATTTCAGTCATTCGGTTGCGAAGAGCAGCTGAGAGTTCGCGCTTCCCATAATCACCACCAGGATTCATCGTAGACAGAAATTGGAACCCATCATCAGCAACAACCATGGAGTTGATTGGTCCCTTTTCTGCAAGCAGAATTGATCTATGAGGCTCTAGAACACTGTTAAGTCTTTCCAATACTGAGTCATCGGCAAGGGAGATTTCGTCCAGAAGGAAATATTGCCCAGTCTTCATGGCGGTTATCAGGCTCCCATCTGACCATTCGAAGAGAGCATTAAGACGAGCAATGTGCGTTTGGATCCTCGAGACAAGTTCTGAATCGCAGGCTTGTAATTGGTCCGCAGTAAGTGTACCGAACACCTGCCTCATTTCTTCCAATGATCGCGAAGGATCAGTTTCATTAAGAGCTGATTGAAGATCATTCAATAGCTGATGTTCAATAGCTCCCCTGTTCCTCACAGGCCGCTGAGCACCAATGAGATCGCCTGTTTCAAGGTTCACATGGGCGTTTACAATGAGTAATTGTCTTTTATAGGCTTCTGCGACTGCTTGACAAAGCTGTGTCTTTCCACAGCCAGTTTCTCCCACCAGTAGAACTGGTTCGTTGTTTTCAAGTGCAACGGACACCAAAATGAACAATCTCCTCATTGCTTTGGTCCACACGACCCCGGTGGGAAGATGAGGCGCACGCTTCTCCAATTCGGAAGCACTGTACACCACATCTTCATCTATACGAACTCTCATGACATCTTCGATTACACCCTTCACAGCTGCCCTTTCCTGCGGGTTCCTGACTCGTTCTGCAAGCAACATAAAACCGTTTATCGCTAACTGCTCGCGATCATCTGCTCGTCGGAGAGCCCACCTAAAGAGATCACGTAGAGTAGCAAAACTGTTTTTCTGCTCAAAGAGTCTGTTGGCTTGACGGAGTAGAGACAACTTCCGGTAGACAGACACTATTCTAGCACAGAAGGAAGGTGCAATTTGGGAGCGTTCCTTAAGGATGAATTCCAACTCACTCTCTGGGATATCATCAAAGTGCAGCTCGAGAAAACGATTCCGGAAAGCGCGGGACAGCACTTTACGACCACCATAAAGACCAGCTGGATTTTGGGTCGCAAATAGCATGAAATTTGGGTGTGGGTGAACGACTTCCTGGGTCTCTGGTATAAAAAGTTCGCGATTATCGTCTAGAAGTCGATTCAATGCTTCCAAGACGTCCGATGGTGCCAAGTTGAGTTCATCGAGTACAATCCAATATCCATTTCTGAGTGCCTCCACGAGAACGCCTTCCTGATAACGAAGAGTACCGTCATCGCTGGACACATAGGAGCCTAGGTATTCTTGAAGGTCTGTGTGCTCGTGATTGTTGATACGAACAAATTTGTTTCCAGAAACCTTCGCCAGGTATTCAATCATGCTTGTTTTTCCAGCAGAAGTTGGGCCCTGCAGCAATATAGGGAACCGACGCGTTGAACTTGCTCTGACCAGGTTCTTGAGGTTTTTCTCTATAAAAGGTGTTATGATGTAATGTGGTTGCTCCTCTGGAACCAAGTGCCCACGTCGCATCCAGTAATGCTTGAACTGGACATAGTCATAGCCATCGGTGGGAGACTTAGGAGTCTGGCCGAGAAGTGCTCTGGCGTTCTTTGTATTGCTGAACAGGTGTCTCTCAAGAAGCGGAAGCAGCAGCCTCTCTGACTCTTGGCTCAAAACTGTCAGAAAGCTCATGGAGAATCCTTCGAAAACTGCTCGGCGTAGGCCGTAGACATGCGCGTGGTCAATGACATAAATAAGGGCACGAACAAGAGTTCGTATACTGAAGTGTGGGCGTTGTCCAGCCCCATCTGTAAGCTTGTTTTCGTTGCTGAGCTTCTTCGTTTCCAGATAGAGTTGCGCAAGGTCTGACGCGATTCTCATGTCACCTAAAGTCAAATCACCAAGATATTTCTGGATCAGAGCAAGTAGATCGTCCCGGTCACTGTCTGGGGAGTGTACATAGAGTTCAGTAAACCGGGAGCGAAGACCAGGAGGGAGATCCTTCTTTCCTGCGTCTGTAGCAGGGTTCATAGCGCCAAATATGCGAAAGTCCGGATGCCCGAATACCCTTTCAACATCGCCAGCCTCGGAAAGTAGGACAGATGGTGAGCCTTCGGTACCATGGTGCAGAAGGCTAGCAATGTTCTCAAGAGTATCCGGTGAGGCCAGGTTAATCTCATCAAGGAGGACCCATTCTCCATTTCGTAGCGCCCTCACAATCTTTCCCTGAACAAAAGCGAAAGCAAATTTGGCATCGCCCTGGGTCACCTGAGCCTCGAAGTCATTCAATTGCACTGCAAACCTTTCCCATCTTTGCCGCAAATGCTGGTACTTGGGTGAGTCCAACTTCCTTTTCTTCGTGGGTTGCTCCTCGCCTCCTTGAGAGGACCCGTTACTGGATTTGAAGACTCCATCGGCTAACCGAACAGCCTCATGCCAAAGATGTACCAACCGTGTCCAGTTTCCTGCAGCAACGCTTTTTGCAACTGACGACAAAAATTTCTGGTTCTTCTTTGCTGAGAACGTCAACTCAAACACAGCATTAAATTCGTCAAGCATAGGGACAGCCATTGTACGGATATTAACAGGCTTGAAACCACCTAGCAAATCACTACTTTCACTCTGTTGCGACAAGTTCACCACTGTGAGCTTCTGTCGCATTAAGGTAGCAAGCTGTTGAATCACTGTTGTCTTTCCAATACCTGTCTCTCCGACAAGGAGCATAGGCTCTGCCATTTGTATGGCAGCGGCAGCCTGTTCCATAAGCTTCAGCGCAGCTCTGGTCGAAGCAAAACGCGTTGATGACCTGGAAACCGACCCGCTGGGTACCTTAATCTTTCGGCAGACTTCTCTACCGAGGACTATGTTATTACCTTGATCAGAATATGCGGGGATTCGTTCACTAAGGCAGAACTGTGCTCGCTGTGGTGATATTTGAAGCGCTTCCGCGGCAACTAGAGCAAGCGACTCTGCCAGTGATTTTTCTGGGATGTAGCTGAGGAAGATGTCCACAATATCCAAGAAGATTTCATCCTCAGCACCTTCCGGCATAGCTTCATAACCAGTCTTAGCTCCTAGACGCTGCAGTCGCCTATGCATTCGGCTACAGAGCTTGATAAGGTCACGAAGACCTGGGGTACGGCCTTGAGAGCTCTTGATTGCGAGGCTTCCATGGAAGGAAGAGCAAAGCCTTTGATAAACACTCATGATAGTTGGAACTCGAGACTCAAGGAGCGGGAATTTTTGCGTAATGACTTCTTGAATTTCGTCGATTGAAAGGGGCTCGATATGTACCCTCTGCCACAATCTGCTTCCCAGAATTGTTGTGCTTGGAGCGACTTCTTCACCTGCGATATTATATGATGACTTCATAGTTGCAATAATCTTAAATCCCTCGGCGCACTTAATCCGTTCCTTTCTACTTGCTATAGTCAATTCTCCTTTCTCAATGATTGGCAAAATAAGACCAATCACTTCAGAAGGCGCACGGTCTAGATCCTCGATTAGAATCCATCGGCCTTCCCTAGCTGCTTTAGTCAAGACACCGGGTTGCCATGCAAATGAGCCAGTAGCAGGGGACGTTGAGTACATTCCAAGAAGACTCTTAGCATCCGTCTGCTCATTTAAATGTAAGGTAACCATGGATTCAGACTGGCCCATGATTGCGGCAACGTCATTGACCAAAGAAGTCTTGCCAGAATTCGGCAAACCAACTAATAGTAGAGGATTCGAGGCAGTCAACGCTGTCGCGATCCTACGAAGATTTCTCACAGCGGTGGGCGCTTTCACAATTGAAGATGCTGGCGTTGACATCTCATTAAGTCGGGGGATAAGAACACCGCAGACTTCAGCAGTTCGGGGGGTGAAATATTCCCGGAGCTTCTCGACTTGTGATAGACTGTCCTCAATCGACCGACCTGACCGTGCAATCAGTGCCTGTTTCTCCAGAGTACCCCACCGACGCTCTTCCCACAAGCCAAGGCAGCGATAGTCGATCACAATCCCCTCCCATTCGCCTTCAATAACGTTGGCTCCAATATACTTCTGAACCATTTTCTCGGTGGCAGCATCCGCTGCGTGCATATACAAGGCAAAGCATCGAATCGCAAGATACCGTATAGAGGGGTTTGAATGTTGGAAAAGGGATTGAAGGCGTGACGGCGATATGGTACTCGAAAATGTCTCTAAGTCGAATGAGAGAAGTCTGAAGACCGACAATAATAGAGTGCGGATGGTAGTATCGTCTAATTGCAGAAGCGTTGTCTCGTCAGATGCAGCCAAAGCGGATAGAGGTCCAGCCCGAGAACTAGCATATTGGCTTGCGAAAGAAGCAAGAAATGGCGCAAACGGTAGGATTCGTGAAAAAGCGGAGATAATGTCGATTTGATTATTATGAAAGTCTGAAGCAAGCCATCTTGCTGCCAGATCCACAAAGATCGGCTCATATAGGCAGAAAAAGCCTTCTGTACATTTTGATCGCAATGCACCAACCGCGAGCGCATTCAGGTACTGAGTCCCAGAGGATGTGCGAATGAGTTCCGCTACCTCATTCGGAAGGTGCTCAAAGAGCTGGGACTCTTCAAGAGTCCTCTCATAGGCAGGTCTGGTCTCCATGCTCAACCCTACCTCCAGAGGAACTCTTATATTGAGTTAGAGAGAGAAAGAAATTATCGATGCCGATAACAGTAACTTTTTTTTCCAAGCCGTTTTCTGCCGCTATATGTGGCGCAGCCCCACACTTATTATGCTCACCGCCTTCATTTGAGTCGCGGAGCGGAGCTTAAGCCACACCTCCGAGATTAGGACCAGTTGTCGTAAGTCGAGACCGGGATAGAACTGCGGGATCGTCAACAAAGGACATGGCTTTCTGCAAAGTGGACATTGACACTTGTACGTAGCTTTCTGTGCCCACTATGCAGTCGGGAGGAGAAGCTGGGGCCTCCTCGCTCCTCACGGAGTCGCGGAGTCAGCAACATTCCCCGATACAACGCCGTAACAGCGACCTATCTTCACCGGATCCCCACGAATGGAGTGATTCACTCAGCGGTGGCTTACATGAGCCGTAAGGTTCCAACCCACTTGGGCAATTCATGCGATTCTAATGGGGAACGTGTACAGTATATCCTTTAAGCGCAAACAAAAGCAGCGATCCGGTTTCAGCTTATCGACCTTATTTTCCAATAATACTACGGAATCCGTTGCTGGAGACGCTGGGTTTATATCTTCGAACACCCGGAATGGGCAACTCCTTGAAAATATATCATCTTCAAGGGATCGACCGATGAGTAGCAATGGAAATGCCACTGCGCAAAAAGAGGGCGGTCTCCTTGATTGGTATGTGGAAGGTCCAGGGCGACGAGTAGGCTATGATGACCTCACCGCGATCGATTGGATATTTGAATACACAAAAGAACGCCAGAGGAAGAGGCATCTATATTCCCATGGCCAAGGGGCTGTAGGATATGTACTCAAATTCGTCGACGCCAGTAATGTCTGGATAGTATTGATCGCTACTGGAATTTTGGTCGGGATCATTGCAGCTTTTATTGATGTTGCAAGTGACTGGTTAGGGGATTTGAAAACTGGGTATTGCAAGAATGGGGCTGGGGGAGGCAAGTTCTACCTAAATAAGAGCTTCTGTTGCTGGGGTCATGATGGTAAGCTATTCTTCGCTCCCAGGTTGTACCGTGAGGTATCTATACTAAATTATGGGTTAGATATCTCTAACTGTCTAGACTGGACACCCTGGGGGAAAGCACTAGGTCTTACCTCTTCCGGCGGCATCTTCACGGTTGAATACTTATTCTACGTTCTTTATTCTGTAAATGGGTCTTTTCCGTTATAATTGTAGTATACTAACAATTCTTATAGGTACTATTTGCTATATGTGCTACAGTCTTGGTTAGGACCTATGCGCTTTATGCGAGACACAGCGGTATCCCTGAGATCAAAACGATTCTCGGTGGGTTCGTGATAAGGCATTTTATGGGACCTTGGACGCTTGCGATAAAATCTTTGGGATTAGTAGGCTTCCCTCAAGATACACACTATGCATACCTAAGCTGACAATTGCAAAGTGTTTATCCGTCGCATCTGGTTTGTGGCTGGGTAAAGAAGGCCCTCTTGTTCATGTCGCATGCTGTTGTGCCAGCGTGATAATGAAACCTTTCGAAAGCCTAAATCATAACGAAGGTAAACGCTCTTTATAGCCGTGCCAATCACATAAGCTAATTATGCAGCGAGGAAACGCGAGGTTCTGTCCGCAGCCGCGGCTGCAGGCATCTCTGTTGCGTTCGGGGCCCCAATCGGGGGGGTCCTGTTTAGTTTGGAGGTATGACCTTTTAGAAATCCCTTCGCTCATAGAGGAACCGTTCTAATATTGGTTAGCAATTATCTTATTACTTCCCCGACAAGACAATGTGGCAAAGCTTTGTTTGTGCCATGGTTGCTGCAGTGACGTTACAAGCATTAAACCCTTTTCGTACGGGCAATATTGTCCTTTACGAAGTCACGTATACACGCGGGTGGCATCGCTTTGAGATGATTCCGTTTGTTATACTTGGCATATTAGGCGGCCTATATGGAGCGTTTCTTATCCGCTTGAATATGAAAATTGCCCAATGGCGACGATCTCGGAGCTGGTCACGACCAATTGCAGAGGTGGTGTTCGTAGCTCTTTTAAGTGCGTTGATCAATTATCCGAACTTGTTTATGAGATCTCAAAACTCCGAGCTTGTTCATTCTCTCTTTGCCGAATGTGGAAATGGGGGTGAGGATCCTTTTGGTCTATGCAAGACAGGCGCTGCGTCCCTTACTACAATAGCTCTTTTGCTTATGGCTGCGATCCTTGGTTTTTTCCTCGCATCCATAACTTTTGGTTTGGATCTACCCGCCGGTATTATCCTACCTTCCGTTGCCATTGGTGCTTTATATGGGCGCGCTCTAGGTACGACTTTCAAGATGTGGCAAGAAGCTTATCCCAACATTTTACTCTTCGGAAATTGCGAGCCGGATATTCCCTGTGTCACTCCAGGACTATATGCAATCGTTGGTGCGGCTTCAGCTCTTGGCGGAGCCACTAGGATGACTGTGTCGATAGTGGTCATCATGTTTGAACTCACTGGTGCTTTGACCTACGTTATCCCAATCATGATTGCAGTCATGCTATCGAAATGGTGCGGCGACATATTTGGGAAACGTGGCATTTACGAGTCGTGGATTGAGTTAAATGAGTATCCTTTCCTCGACCAACGCGACGATACTACCCCACCCGATGTGCCTGCTCATAAGGTCATGACGACTGTGGATGACTTAACGGTCATTACCGCCGTGGGTCATACAATTGACAGTCTTCGGCACCTTCTCCTGTCCACTTCATACCGTGGATATCCCGTAGTAACCGATACGTCAAACCCTATCCTTCTAGGTTATATCTCTCGGAACGAACTTTCCTTTGCTTTGAAGTATTCGAAGTCGCCTACGGACCGAGCGTTGTCTGGCGAAACCCAGGTCTTTTTTGCCCATCAACCTTTTGCAGATCCAGGAGAGACTCTCGATCTTCGTCCATGGATGGACCAGACCCCTATCACCCTGAATAGCAGTACGACATTTTCGCTAGTACTTCAGATGTTTCAAAGGCTTGGACTGCGTTACATCTTACTTTCGGACAAAGGAGTCCTCCAAGGGCTGCTCACTAAAAAGGATGTTTGGTCTGTCATCAACAGCCCAGAGTTCCGTAAAGGCGGATTCTCTAGAGAGAATGTAGTCCGCCCAGTGAATACGGCAGAAGAGGTTGGACTCCTGGAGAGCGATGACGTGACCAGTCTGGCCAGTTCTTTAGAAAGGCGCCAGTCGCTCTGATTTCTTGTACAGAAAATAGCACTATACCGGAACATCCTTGAGTCCGGTAAAGCATGCCTACGATTGGCACATCCGGCGGTGCCTATGTTTAGACCCATGACGCGAATCACGTTGACTTGGTTTTGATAGAACTTGGTAAGGGATAGGGCTGGCTTCCTTGGTAGATACTCAATGGCGTTATGTTGGTTTTGGTGTTTCTTTCCTAGTTTTTAGTCGCCTGACTGGCAGTCAGCGGCCCTTTCTGTTATATATATATAGCCTCCCTGTATTATGTGAATACTATACATCCACCATCTGTCTTCCCTGATGAGATAGGACCTTCTGCTCCCACCCCTACACCTAACCCCAGCTATTTAGATGAGCCAGTTACTTCCCTATCAGGTGAGCAAAGCTGTCCTTAACAGCATGCCCACTAGCATATAACCATGCAGTACTAGCTGACCAACCCCACATATTCTGCCAGCACAATCCATCTGACCGCCCCTTCACCGACCAATCGGCGCACCCCACCCATGATAATTCCCCAACCTATTTGCGACAACCTGAACAAGTACGGAGTACAAAACCCTCATTCCAAATCAAGTGTTATAACTCTCTAGCCCCTTAGCCGAGCTGTAAATCCGCAACCATGATGGCAGATCCGTTTGAAGTTCGCATGCGCTTTACCGCGCAGCTACAACATTTGAATGCGTCAATTACATCCTCCCAGAAAGCTGCGCATTATGCGCTCAAATACCGCGATATGGACGAGGATCTTCACTCATGTATACTGGAACAGCTTGAAAGGGTACGTATGTTGATTCCGCCATCTATCAGGCTTCGTTTGCTAACTTTCATGGTGTCTCCAGAATAATATGAACAACCGAGCTAATATCATGTATTTCATCGAGCAATTCTGCGAAATGGCCACGAAGGAAGATCATGCACCATACGTGCGCATGATCCAGAGGGATATCTTACGCGTAGTGGATGCCGTTGCACCACCTGATGGCTCGGGGGCCGCGAATGTGAAGCATGTTCGTCGGGTTCTCAGCGGGTTACAAAACAAGGAAATCCTCTCCGCGGAAACAGTAACGGAGATCAATGCCGGTCTGAAAGACCGTGAAACACATCCAGCACATCTTGACCTGGAGGCCGATGAGGGGGTGGAAGCTAAGGGTGGCACTCCACGAGGCTCTAGAGGGAGTGTCCGCGTGGACAAGAGACAGATTGAACAGAGAATCGAAGAAGACCGCGAGCGGAACAAGCGTTTACGAGAGAGTATGTGGACAGTGAGCGGCGACGATGGTGACGAGCACGGGAAATTCTGGGATGAGACCAGCGACATTGGCGAAGATGATTTCCTAGCCGCGAATGAGGAGTTTACGGAGCGCAGAAAGATGGTTGGTGATAAATGAAAGTGCATGCATTAGCTGTTCTTTCCTGGTTTTATAAAGCCTGGCGGTTTTGGAAAAGTATATACAGCAGGTGTTCGGTTCGGCGTTACGTTCCTTTACTAATTGGGCCATGGGTATGGATGATACCATTTACGTGAATTGCATATGAGATACCATATTCCATTTGACGTTTCTCCTGTATACCAATCTTGAAACCGACAACTACTCACCACCACTCAAATAGTATCAAATAGTACTCCGTACTCTGTACAAATAAATGGTTACTTTAGTAGCCCCACATGGCATCTTTCCGCCTTCGGAGAAAAGTGGTCCCGCGGAGATCATGAAAATGAATTTCCTGAAAAAAAAGCGCCGAGTTTGGGCGCAATAACATTTCTCCATATATGCTTGGTAGCTAATTTTTTGAATCGGATCATTCTAGATCCTCTATGTTTTCCCACATTGTCACTGCGGCAAAGGGTCTATTTACTCGACAGGATACCGACAAAGCACAATCAAAAAACTCCGACAACACAAAGATGGTCACAACACGGCGGCGGAAGATTTCCGATATTGTTCCAGAAGAGGAACATGAGATCAATGGACAACAGGAGGTGAATGGAAAGCGCAAATCTGGGCCAGCCAGCTCTGGGAAGACGGAAACTCAGCGCAATAAACGGAGAAAGCGAGCCAGCCTTGAAGCCGCAGAAAGCGAGAGCGGGACTCCCGAAGAGCCTTCAGAAGATACCCAGGAAACAGATTCCAAACAGGAGGATGAAAAATCGGCACCTGCTCCGAAGAAGCATTTCAGATTCGACAGTGAAGAACCAGAAGTACCGTTGGATATGCAGATAGAGGAAACAGCAGAAACGCAACAGGCGAAGGAGGACAGCGGCGATGACAGCAGTGATGATGATGAAGCTCCGGAAACAGTTGATAACTCGGCGCAGCTATCTAAGGTCAGGGCGCAGGCTAAGAAAATGGAAAAGGCCAAACAATTGTCAGTAATAGACCTTGTTTTTCCTCCGATATAGCTCGCCTTACTAACTGTCCTACAGGGAAGAAGAGTTAAAGCGCGAGAAGAGAAGGCAGTTGGATGAGCTGCGTAAATCACAAGCGAAAGTTTCGAAAAAGAAAGACAAGCCCGTTGATGATCTGCTATCCGAAAGCACGGAGACACTTCAGGGCTTTAATACACAAGATGCACGGCGATCAGCTCTCCCAGCACTTCTTCCAGATGATATTTTGAATGCGGCTCCTGTTACACGACCACCCACTCCACCCACAGAAGGAATAAACATCGCCCACAAGAAGCCGACCAAGCTGAAGTTCCTCGAAAAGTCCGAGAAGCGCCCCAAGGATGTGAAGATGGGTGACGTGACGATTCGAGTATTGGGTGACATTCCACAGAAGAAAGCCAAATCGGCTCTGGCCCCGAAGGCCTCGAAATCCGGTCGGAATAGCAGACAGACTTGGCTTGATCGGAGTCGCAGTACTGGGCATGTCAATGGTTTGAGAAGGACAGCCGGCGGTACCTCTGGATTTGTACGCAAGTAGAAGGTCTTATCTATACCATCAAGCGGCTCAGCGGTGGCTAGCAATTGTTCCAACCAAGATCAAGAGCGAATTGAACCGGATGCCCCTACAACCACTCTCGAGAACCATCGCACTAATGGCAACGAATGCCTCTCGCTTCTCTCTATATATCAATATACACCAATGTCGAATGATTGGTTTCGCATCCTCTGCGATACGCAGGGTCCAGGCAGGCCTTGTCCCCGGAAGCAGGTTACAGGTTCGAGGATGCATAGCAAGCAGAGTACGATCCACGCAGTTGAACTTTGCCTTAAAAAAATTTCGAAATTCCTGTATAGACATGTAATGTTCAACGGTAGATAGTTATTAAGTGTCGTTGTCTAGGCGTCTGAATATTGGGTGCAAGGCGCTCTCAAAAAGTGGAATCTATTTATTCTTGTTTTTTTTCTAGTATTATTTTCCTTTTTAAATATTCTTTTACGCAGTCCAGCTTGCTTAGGTCTCAACTTGAAAGGAAAAGTAACACAGAAAAAAGAAAGCAAAGGTAAGGAAGAGAAAAGAAAAACAAAGGGGTTGTATATAAAGATACCAGGGTCTACGATATAAGTAGGATGATTGTTCCATAGCCTAGACCGTTGGCAAAAGTCGAAGTGGATGCAGGTTGTTCTATAGCAGGTTAGCCTCTGGTGGGCGCACGTGCGAAAGCTTGGAGCTTGGTCAATCCATTCTTCACCTCCATTTCGACGGAAAGATCTTCCGGAGTGATTCTTTGCTCATTATTAAACGTTCCACCTGCCCATCAATGGCAGGCTTCTAATGATCATCTTGACCTACTACGTCCAACATGGCTTCCACCGCAGAAACAACCCCCCTGCTCCCCCAGCACCAACAACAACCCGCAACATCCAATACGTCACCTCGAGCAAACCGGCGGACAGTCACCTTCAACCCTCTCACCACAGTCAGCACATACCACGATGCCACCTCTACAAACGCTCCAGTCAGAACACTATATTCCGGCCCTTCCTCATTCCCGAGTTCTCAGGATACCCCGCAACGACCGACTGGACTATCCGCATTGAACAGCAAGCTCCGTCGCCGGAATAGCCATGGAGCGCCCTATAGTGCAGCCCCCTCAATGCCTGCTGCACCCAAAGTCGGCCCGCAAAGAACAACAAAGAAAGCTCAGAAATTGAAACTTCTCCCTGATCCGATAACCGAGGAGGCTGCTGAAGGTGAATTCCCGTCGGACGTATACTCGCAAATCGCACGGATTAAAGAGCCCACTGCTCGAAGCCATGCTGCAAGACTGGGCAAGGCAGACAGAGAACGATTACCCCGCGTGACAGCATATTGTACAGCCAATTCATATCGATTAGACGGAGCGACCAGGTTTCTCAAATCAAGGTCCAAGACCCGTGGGGCCAATCCGAAACTCTACGATGAGTGTGTCTACTCACCTTTCGACTACCTATACGAAGAAAAGCAAAGAAGTACATCAGAAAATCATGTTGGCATAAATAATGTGGGTATGGGGGAAGCCTTCCAGAGACCCACCACTGAACGCAGGTTCTCCGACAGCGTGGTCGAAATCGAAGATAATACTAAATCCCGGAGAGAGGACCTCATCGACCTTCGAGACTCAGAGGCCCACCATTCTGAAAATGCCGTGGCGGAAACTCAATCTGAAACCCCAGACTTCGACACTACAATCCACACCCCGGAGGTATTCCTCTTTGACTATGGCACGGTCGTCATATGGGGCATGTCGCCCGCGCAAGAGTCCCGGTTCCTGTCCGATATCTCTAAATTCGCAACCTCCATCTTAAGTCCCGAAGATACGCAGGTCGAAAACTTCAATTTCTACTATGCGCGCGAATACCAAGCACGGATATACAACGACTTCATCTCTCTGCGCGATCCACGAAACCACATGATCAAACTGGCCATCTCGCATGCTCTCGCTCAATCAGTGAAGACCTCTCTTTTCGAGGATCTCGTCTCAGAAACGATCTCGAATACTGCACCATTGCCTGCCCAAATCGCACAGACAGGAAGTGTCAATCTCACGCGGCGACAGATTAACATGCAAGTCGGAGAATTATTCATTTTACGAATCAATATCCATCTTCAGGGCTCGGTCCTAGACAGTCCAGAACTAATGTGGGCAGAACCACAGTTAGAACCGGTCTACCAGGCCGTGCGGAGCTACCTCGAGATGGACCAACGAGTCAGCCTCCTAAACGAACGACTGGACGTAATTGCAGATCTCCTGGCCGTTCTCAAAGACCAATTAACTCACCGACACGGTGAGTATCTAGAATGGATTGGTAAGTCATCACCCTCAACTACGCTAATTCACTCAGACATCAGTTGCTAATATAAATGCACAGTCATCGTCCTCATCGCTGCAGAGATCCTTGTCGCAGCCATCAACATCGTGGTCGATTTATATGCTGGCGTTGACTAAATTCTGGTCATCGGACGATCATATACTTCATCTTGCTCACAGGCCTATCTATCTACCTTTCCTTTTATTAATTATTCATCCCATTGCATTGTACTGGTACTGGCGTCAGGGCGAACGGGCAAGATCGCATTGCAATGATAGCTACGCATAACCATCCCATGTACAATACAATATGACATTAGCTACACAAGCGGGTGCAAAGATCGAACAAGAATAGCTTTCCAGCACCATATACACCACCACACGCTATTTCTTTATCAAAAAGATACAACTTCATAACCGTAGCTATCATCTACCACGTAATCGACACCATCGTTCCCCATCCCACGAACAGAATGTATATTTCGCACCTTATCCATCACCAAAGACAGAAAGCGGGATATGAACAAAAAGCAAACTCCCTAATCTTAATTTTAGTAAAGATGAACAAACAAGAACCCCGAGAACCCCCTTTAGATATAGAGAAAAAAAAAAAAAAAGAAGAAGAAAATGGTCACAAAAACAAAGAATATAAGATAAAGATACAAAACCCCCAACCCATCATCCACTGAGCGCAAAGAAAAAACCCCCCAACTAACTGTCCTCCTTCGACTCCTTAGTATCCATGTCCATAGGCGTTGTCGGCTCCACAGAGACCTCTCCTTGGCCAGGTTCTCTTGACCCGGACTCCGGGTTCTGGCTACCACCACGGTCACTTCCGGAACCGGTATTGTTCTCTTTATCTTGTGCCGAGTCGTTGCCCGCCTGGATGCGGAATGAAGAAGTCATGTCCTCCTGCGACGGCGCAGGCGCTAACCGCGGAAGCGAGGCTGATCCAGCAGCGGACGAAGACTCGGGCGCGTTGTTAGCAGAAGGGGCGGCATCATCATCTACACCGTCGCCGACATTTGATTTCCGGGATCGTTTCACACGGAGAGGTCGTTCTTGGGGCTGTGATAACATTAGTTAATTCCCATCCGTTAAGGGGGCCGGGGGAAGAAATGAAGAAAGAAAAAGAAAAAACTAACAGTAGGCGGCTGTTCATCCGAGCTCCCCTCCGTGTCATCCGCATAATACACACCACTACCACCCTCCTTGTCACCAGGGTCCAGAACTGCCGCATTAGACATCATAGCCGCGGCGCGGGCCCGTAGCTCCGGGCTGACGCCTGCCTGGGCCTCCTCTGCCATGCCGGTGACCTTGGCTAGGCGCTCGAGCAGGATGCATGACTCAAGACGCATCTTTTGGATATATTGCCAGCCGCGGTGGTTACGGACGCGCATCAGATCGTTCTCTCTTTCGATCTCAGTTAAGCGTTTCTTTAAGGCGACGCATTTGCGTTTGTAGGCATGTTCGACACTCGGGGGGTTCGAGGATTCGATTGATGTTGACTGATTTGTAGATGGCTCCATTGTGTTTAGTGTTATATGGCAGTTTTCCTTGTGGTTTGGATTGAGTTGTTGTTGTCGAGGGCCTAGGATAAAAGTCGAAATTTGAGATAAAAGGTGATTTGATTCGTAGATGAGGGGTTTGGATGGGTGAATTGAGGTCTCGCTGCGGATTGATGGGGGTTGCGCGGAGTAACACTTTGTCTCAGACTCCCAGTCAACAGGGTGTTCAGGGACAAAGGACCGGCGAGTGAGATGTGCTGTGTATGTCTTGATGCGAACGTAGTCGGGGATCCCTTTCCACAGGACCGGTAAGGTTCTTCGGCGAGGCACAAGACACAGGGATCTTTGATTTTCCTACGGCCACAAGCAATTTCCGAGTTAAAGCTAGTCTCACAATGAGTGGCGCCGAGTTCAAATGACAGAATTCTGGCGCATTCGCTGGATGTCTGATTGCTAGACTAGCGATGGTTTGGAATCGTGGCTGCCATTCTGCCGGATTGTGATCGGAGGCGGTCAGCGGTGCCCTGTGTCTAGACAATCACGACAATTACTATGGCATATACGAGGAACTACCGAATTCGTGCATCATGAACATTAATCATTCTAGACTATCTACTGAGCTCATAATGCTGGTATCTAGATCGGTCGGTATGTAAGATTCAATGCCCACCAGTCGTCGGAAGACCAAGGAACACCTTGAACGAGTCATAACTATATAAAATCCGTCAATCACTGTAGTTTCCCACTAGAGAAGATGATGGACAACTTACATCAACCATTGGAATCCAGTCAGTGTACCCAACATGACGATACGGACGGGAAGACCGTTCCATAGGCCCGAAAACCCGATATTTCCATAAATGCGCGACACGGCCTTCATGGCTGACTCACCAGCTAAGATACCATCAGCACCAAATCACAATGACAACTCCATCAAGACTCATCAGACTCAACTCACCCTGACGATCAGCATTAAGCTTGCTAACCATAACATCAGCCGGATGGCTGACAATCGCACAGAAAATGCCAGCAATGTAACCGCCCAGGAAACTGATTCCAGTTTGTTGCAGTCCACTGCAGCTCTCTTTCGGTTTGCCCAAAGTCTTATAGATCGCATTGACCGTCTCCTCAAAGGTAGCGAACTTGGTCATAGTGTAAGGAATCTGTCGCGCCCAGAGCGGATACAACCCCTTATACAAACCGCCGAATCCTTCTTGGGCAACGATCTTGCTCCAACCCTCGCGCATCGTCTGCGCATAGGGCGGCAGGGTCGTCTGCATGCGCACCTTGATCGCCTCGAAGGGGCAGAGGGCCATGTCTGCAAGGAATTCGGCAGAGGCACTGGCGCCTAGGTATACCACCGTACGGTTCATGCCGGGGAACATTTGGTCGCCGTATAGATACTTGAAGTACTCGTAGAATCCATATTTACCTGCGCCCTGGAAGGAATACCCGATGAATGTGGGAGACCAGCCAAAGAATACTCCGCGGAGTCCTTCCTTGGCGAAGATAGAACGCCATGCTGAGATATTCGATGTGTAGATCTTGGGATCAACCTGACGGCGACACTTGACCAGATCGAGTGGTGTTACTGATGTATGGGTAGGTCCTAGAGACAATTTCATCGTTAAATGTAGCCCACGGAGAGCAATATGCTTTCGTATTGAGAACTTACCACATGCTGTATATCACGGCCAAAGGAAAAAAAAGAGACACGTTAGTATTGATTTTCTCAACGATATTGGCAATCGTTCCAAAGAAGCCTACCAATAATGCCTCCTAGAGCACAGTTAACGAAATATTTGCCCGTATTAGGCTCGATCTTTCCCATAGGAAGTTTGCGTTCCTGCATAGCCATAGCGGCGGTTGTATGGTGAAATCTGGAAAGGTTACGACAACTGGTGTGACTGAGAAGCGCAATTACTTGAATGCAGCAAAAAAGCAAGGCTCAAGTGCGCCAAATTTAATGTAATGCAGCTGAAAGAAGGATTCTAAACTTATAAACAGAATTAATTGACTATGGTGAAGGGAGGAATCGTCTCAAGATCCCCAAGAATGTGTGATATGAAGCAAGGTCGGCCGAGGGGTATTCGGTTAGGCTATATAGAACCTAAACCAGGGCAATGTCGTCAGCAATCACAGCTTATCTCGGGGTCTGGACCAGTAACTGGTTGCCAAAGGACATTGGCTTTGGTAGTTCAAGGGTCCGTGAACGGCTAAGCCGGCATGCAGCCCTGAGCTGGACTGGTAGCAGTGCACGCTACCACCTCGGATGTGGAGTGCCGATGTGCAAAGAGGCTTGGTATTTGGCCCAGATTTATGCACCAGAAGTACTGTGTTACTCGACTCCAAATAAATTCCCTGTTCGTTTATGTCACAAGTGGACATTTTCACACTGCCCGGAAGTGGAGCCAATATCAATGACGTCATTATATCGTCCACAACCGGAGCTTGGCCATAACACTGTCTATTATAGATAGAGACTAAAAACAGGATATATAAATATAATCCAAATATACAAGAGGAGAGAGAAAAGCCCATCACTTACGCCAATAGTACAGGAATTCATAAGCATTATACAGGGTAGTCGCAAACCATATTGACAATGCCCACCCAACAGGCTTCATGTACAAGGGAGTTAGCTCGTCGATGGTATGAAACGGTAAGGGTTTGGGGTCAATGCAGTTGCATGTTGGGACATGCCTCCCTGTTGCGCCAGGATAAGCGCCAGCTTGATGCCCAGCACGGAACCGACCCTACCCAATGCGCTTCGGATTTGCTCTATCTGTGCCGCTGTGCCCATGCCGAACGTCAGAACATACCATAGCGGCCACAGCATCATGTATCCGTAAAGAGCGCGAACGGGTGGTCGTCCCTCAGCAGAGGCTGGGATTGATTGGCCAAGTGCATCGATATCCCCCAATGAAAAGGGAATACTCCGACATGTATCGGTGGTCATCTCCTGAATCTCCTCCAGCGCCGCATCGCGGTGGACGTCGCAGACCTGGTTGTCACCGATGAGAGAGGCATGGGTCTGGCGTAAATCAAGTAAATGTCTTTGGAGGCTAATCCGAGCCGCGCGGTAGTATGTCCAAATTGCTGCAATAGATGCACTCTGATAAGTCATGAACGGTCCGCCCGTAGCCGTATAGACAACGAGAGGAAGCCAGTGGTCCGGTAAATGCTGACTCCAGTTGGCCATCTCCAGAGCTAAGATTCGGCCAGTTTCTATCCATGTGGTGACTTGTGTAATGGTATCTATGCCTAATGACCCCTGATGGGAAGAACTTTCGGCAAAAAGCTGGCCAATCTTGGATGCCGTTAGTATTAACCTAGCCACCGGCTCGGATCCGTCAAGTTGTCCGACAATCAATTCTGTGCTAGCATTTCGCGGCCGAGTCCGTAGGACTATGCTCTCAATAAGCTACGCAGCTCGTCAGTTTTCTCCGCACATAATCAGGTAAATTGGAACTAACAGTATGTGCATAAGCACAGATGAACAGATCGCGACCTTGTGCATGGCTTAATTGGCTTTCACCTCGCATCCCCATCAGAAGCCCGAATCCTTCCGTATGTGAGCTGTGAAGGCCGTTTCGTTCTCCAGCGATGTCTTCAAAGATAGAGAGAATGACCATCGTGGCAAATGTTTCGTCTCTGACTGCCTGAGACCGTGTGCCCAGCAAGCGCCGAAGCCCATGGAGCGCCAATCCATAGTATCCTCTTGCCTTGAGAAGAAGTGGAGGCGCCTTCATATGGTTGCTTAGTGTTATGAGAGCAGTTGCTTCGGTTGCCAGCCTTAGGCAGGACGATACCGAATCGTCTTGCCCACTGTCCCTACACGCAGCATACAGGGAAGGCAAGAAGCCCAGGTGGTTCAAACACTCATCACTGACACACGTGAACTGATCAAAGAAGTGGCAGACTGCTCGTTCCTCCCACGTGGAGTCAGCGATTTGGGGAAGTATTAGCGGCAGTTCCGGACTGCTATGACTAACGGAGGTACTCCGACTGCTGCGCTGACTATCAGTGGGTGTGGTACTCCTTTTCCTCATGATCCGTTCCACTTTTTGGGTCTCATTACGGAAAATTGTATCTGGTCGATATCCTGGACATGGTCGCCCGTATATAGAGCAGTTTCGACATCCCGGCAGCGCTTCATCACACTTTTAAGTTGCGCTTAGCTTTGTGGTCCGAATCAAGATGAATGAACCCTTGGATTCCATAGAGTCCAGCCGGGTAAGGAAGGTGAAAATGAGGCTAAGATAACAAGGTTGTTGTTACAGTCCTACCTTGATCTTCCGTTTGCGGCATAAGTAGCATCCCGTGCTCGGCTTTCCCCCATATACCATATTGGCTTACTGTGGCTTGAGTAAATCCGTTCCAGTGAGTGTTTCAGGTATAGCAGAAGATAGTAACAAATATATCGAAGGAGAGAAGAAGAGATGGGAAATAGTTGAATCTTGTTCAAAGTTGAAAAGTCTTTGTCAAGAACCTTACACCTGCCAGGCCATTGAGCATAATGAGTACAGTTTAACCTAAGATACAAGTATCTGGTCGGTCAGGTGTCTACCTTGGCAAACTCTGTTGCGATGTAACTCGAAAGACGAACACGAACAGATGAAATCCCACTATAGTGATTGCCTCCATGCCTCTAGCGGGGATGCGGAGAAGCCAATGCCACATGGAGCTTAGTAAGCATCAAGGCAATAAATTACAATACCGTACCGTACCTACGGTACTGAATCTTACGAAGAAGTGTAAGTTCCGATGGGCAATCAAAATGTACAGTACAGCATCGAATAGAACAAACGTTCTCACCCATGATAATACAGTCTGTATATGTTATTGGGATTGGACCCCATATATTCTCTTCGCTTTTATGTAGTTAGAACGGCCACAGACCCCTTTAGATCTCGAATACATCACCTCCCGAGGCGGATATCATCTAACCTATTATAAATAAAAACAAGTCTTAAGAAAACAATTCACGCTGGTACGCCGGCAGGTATAAGGTATTTGGTTGCACAAAGGCAGACAATTTCCCACCTGGAACTCCATCTGCGTTGTAGTTCGTGGGTACGGACAACGGTACGGTTTTGGAAAACAAAAGAAAAACCAACACCCATAATGCAAATCCTGGTCCGTGATGGCTGGTCAAACTGATGACTGTATGCTTCGAATGCGACAAGATCCTAGAGGTCGTCGGAAACAAAGTAGATGCTCTGATTATTACGTCAGTCATGATAAGGTGGGGGAAAGATTATATGATCGTCATATGCGAACGTCAAATCATGGGAGAAGAGTGTGCTAGGAGGAAGGGGCGTCCGGCATTATTTGGTCATCATCGTTGCCCAGGGGTATCGTGGGAGGGTCTGAATGGTATGCTCTCTGCCGACTATCGTCTTCGGCAGGACGCATCCCAGGAGTACTTGATGAGCTGGGTGGCACAATTTCATCTGTATCTTCCTCGGGGGGAGGCGAGAAAGTCCAAACCTGCAAATATATGATCAATCAATTGATCACGGGTCAACATTATGGGACTCTTACCTCCATGACTGTCCGACCCGATCTACTCGCCATGATCACAGCCTTTTCATCTTCGAAGGCCACCCTCCAAACTGCCTCTGCAGGTGAGGACAATTCCCTGAGTAACTGTCCAGTTTGTAGACTCCACACCTTAACACGGCCGTCACTGCCACCGCTGACAATCCGCGAGCTGTCAAACTGAAGGCTTGTCACGCTATTGTCATGTGCCGCTAGCCTATGGATTGGGGTCATTTTGGTCAAAGACCAAACACGGACAGACCCGTCCGAGCCGCCAGTGACGAGTGTGTCACCCCGCATCTGCAGCTGCCCCACTAAAGATGTATGGCCTTGGAGGATAGCATGGCACTGACCACTTTGCGGGTCCCATATCCGCACACTGGTGTCCAAACTTCCGGTAGCGATCCGCCTGCCATCGAAGGCGATTGCATAAATTTGACTAAAATGGCCCGAAAGAGTGCGGAGGCATCGCCCTTCAGAGATACTCCAAATGCGTGCAGTAGTATCATAGCTTCCGGAAACAACTAAATCCCCATGAATCGCTAGACACCGGACACTAGCCTGGTGTCCAACCAGGACATTTCTACAAGTTCCTGAAGCCAGATCCCATATCCGCAGCGTGGTATCTCTAGACCCCGAGATAGCCGTATTCCTGTCAGACATTTTTAAACAGCGCACAGTTGACGTGTGACCACGCAATAGGTAGATACCGGCTCTGTTTCAGGTGAAAAAGTCAGTATCTCTGCCCTGGAATGCTGGCATGAAAGACTCAGCTTACCCAGTAGCCATGTTCCAGACACGGACCTCGCGGTCACAGCCACCGCTCACCAGTATGTCATCCCAGGGGACCATAGCCCATACACCCATCACATGACCTTGCAGCGTCTTCTGATTATCTCCATTGGTGTCATAGATATGAATCTTAGCGTTGTCTAAAGCAACCACAATATACTTCGGTGTGAGGTGCAGGCTCGTAACGACTCCCTGATCGGGTGTGATATGCCGTTGGGTGCATCGCCCGCCTTTATTCCAGGCGGATTCCACCATATATTTCTGTTTGAAATGGGTCCTGTATGACAAAGGCCGAACTCTCCGCTTTCGTGAAGACAAGCTTGCTGACGCAAGCCAGTCCCCCGACAGGGAGCGAGTCAGACCGGGGTGGCCATCCTGGGACTGATGGCTGGAAGCGAGCGAACTCCTCGATCCAGTCAGGGAGTTTGTGCCAGAGATAGTACGCATATGTTGAGTGTGGCAAGGGTCGACGAAATCCCGGTCATCCTCCGAAGACTTACGAGACGCATACGCATGCTTCTCGCAGAGGTTTTTCCATGTGATGTCATCGTTCAATAGTTCCCGCCAACGCCTCGATACCTGAGATGCTCTTGCTAATGTCTTTGGATCATCGATGAACGAAAGTACCTAAGCGAAGCGACGAAGGAGAGGACGCCAAAAGTCAGCGGAGTTCGCAAGTTGGCATACGCCAGTAGCCGCACGGCCGGAAGGCCATATTACATACCCGCAAGCATAATTCAGTGGGAAAGACCAGAAATGGGTCCTTCCTCAAACGAGGACTGACGTAACTAGAGACAAAGCTCAGATGTTGGCTATCACATAGACTAAGGATACCCTCCAAGAATTTCTGCCTTTTGAAGCTGGACAGGGAACTGAAATGAATCCTGGCATTTAGAAGGAAAGCGTCATCGTCTTCATCGGCCGACTGCCATGTCGGAGGCCTCTGATGAGGGGTGGGACTAGGAGCCGGGGTAGGCGGCGATGCGGGTGCTGAAGGAAGGAGATTTGGGGGGATCGATGTGATAGTTTTGTTTGAAGATAATGACCTCGAATGAGCACTCGAAAGCGAAGCGACCGAATCCGTGACCGAACACGTTCGGGTATGGGCTGGCGCCAGCTGTTCAGGGACACTCCGCGGACTCATCCCGTTGGCGATCCGAGTGGAAGAAGAACGTCCGAGGGGTGAGGAAGTGGCGCGCTGTAGGGCGGTTATATCATCCACCAGACACTACCCAACCTTCACGAATATCGATCTCTCCTCACACAAATGCCTCGGGATTCTGGGTCGTTCATAGATCGAGAAAGGAAGAACGAGTGTCTTAGGGGATATAGAGAATGTACGGGAACGAGGAAGGGGAATATAAAGAAAGAAAAAAAATAAATAGGAAGAAATACGATGTTACGCCGGTTAGGTGAGGGAGTAGGAAAATAGCGATATAATAAGCGGACGATCTCCGACGGTCGGATTGGGAAACTGACTGGCGATAGCCCGGAAATAGGGGGAAGAGGAATAGAACAAGGGAAGAGAAGACGTAAAAAAGAGGGCAAAGCGAACCGATCAACTGGAAGTGAGAAGTGGTTGTGAAAAGTAGTACTCACGACCTTGAGCGTCTCTCCAGGCCATCCAGATGCCAGCAGTCGGGTCGCTCACCTGGCAAGCAAGCGGAGAAAGAACAAGACTGATGAGTACCTTATTTAATCTCGAATAATCATGCAATGTCGTGACTCGTTGATGGGGTTCGTCAGGTGCGGTCATTGGAAAGCAGACCCGCCAAGCAGTCGACGCATCTGATTAGTGCCTCGTCGATCCACTTTCCGTACATGTACTTGATGAATATCCGGGAGAAAAAAAGGGAAAAAAAAAAAAAAAAAAGACCTCGTGGGAATGATGATAGGTATGTGTGAACGGGTGTAGTATCTTCGACCGTTCAAACAGTCAGACGGGTTTTGTGTCTGTGTCTGTGTGAGTGGTTTCTCTCTTCTTTCTTTTCCTCCTTTTTTCCTCAAAATATTCGGACCCACTGCAATTATCTCTTTTCGTTCAAACACTTATTCTCAAGCTACCGTTTCAGTCGTATAAAACTGGGAAAATGTAATCCTATGGCCGGAAGAATCTCTGGTAGAGCACCTTCTGGATAGTTTCAGAGGGCACTAAGCTGTAGGTACTAACCAGTCCTGCATGGCAGGGATCGACTGAGGATCGACTGAGGACGGTGTCGGTCGGACAAGGCGAAAAGAGGAAAGAGACAATGTATGATGAGGTAAAAAAAAAAAAAAAAAAAGAAGAAGAAGAAGAAGACGGCAGGAAAAGCTTGAACAGCCAGCCAATTTGCATTCAACAAGCCCTCTTTGTTTGAGTACAAATATGCTCAGTTGCAAGAATTCTCTCTTGCCCACTCAATCCCACTACTAGTACATCCAACAACAAAATGAACAATAACTTAACCTTTTCGGATCCAATTAGTGTATCCCAGATTCTACTTGTCCCAAGTCCTTGGGTAAGCGCACGGCATGCAGCATCCGACCATGGAACTGTGCAGATTCCGGGGTATGTCAGACTTGACAAATTGTTGCATCACCAGTCAATTACCGGTCTGAGCGAAGCCGGGGTATTTAGGATTGTCTACACGCTTGGCTCCCCTCCGGCTTTATATAACTGCTTTAACTCCAGGTCTACGTCAATCTGATCCCGGTCAGAGCATGCAATGATGACCGAGATAGTCACAAGCAAATGAATAACACAATAGGCAGAAACTTCTGAAAAGGGATCCGGTCGCGTGGTCTAGGCACCAAGCGGCGCAGAACTTTGAAGCAGTAAGAGCAAAATAGCCTTCCCATACATATAACAAGAGAATACATGAATCGCCGCATATACGAGAGCCATCAAGCAGTAGATAGACAGACATGCTCCGTCACCAGAAGACTTCAAAGTCTATGTTCCCAATCTGAACGCTAAGTCTCCATGCAAATGCAAACAAACCTTTATTTGTGGGTATGAAGATGAGTGTGTTATCGCTATAATCTGTGGAAAGGTCCAGTCTAGCAGTAAGAATAGTAGATGGCCATGAAAAAGATGTCAGTGGGCATGGCCGAGCTGCAGGAACAGCGGCAAAATCATGCCGACAACAGAAGCAATCAAATCCCTCATGGATTTGTTGGACTTGGACGGAATGTCTCTTGAGTCGCTATATCCGTTCCCTTGTGTCTCACGTGAGACAGCACTTGGATTGTTCTCCTGCATTGTGTGCATGGCGACGTACCTGCGAAAAGACCATTAGCCATCGAAGATTCTTAGGTAATATTTAGGTTATGGAAGGCTCACAAGAATGTGCCAGCCGAAAACAACAAAAGGACCCCAGTTCTCCACTGAGTAGCAGTCAAGTCACTGCTGGACCCTGAGCCCATGACTTGTACAAATAAGAAAGTCGCCAACGCGCCCAAGGGCGCCGCCAGGCTAAAGACTAGTAAATGCGCCCTCGCAGCGCGGCTGGAGAGACCCTGCTTCAACAAGACTGACGTAAGACCAAAAGATGCTGGGGCCTTATGGACCATGATGGCGAGGAATATAATAAAGCTTAGGCCAGTATCGGAACTCGACGCTCCCAGAGCGATTCCGTCAGCAGCCGCATGGATAACAAGCCCGGTGGTTGTTGCGAAGCTGTGACTGCTCCTGGGGCTATTTCCAGCATCCAGAAGCCCCCCTTCTCGCGAGGGAGATGAGTTGCGACGTAATCCAGAGCCTAGGTTATCGAGAGAAATATGATATGGCGTCCGTTGCTGTTTGGCCGGCGCTGCGAATTCCGGGAGCTTGTCGATAAGATACATGAGGATAAAACCGCTAATGAGTGCGATTCCAATCCAGGCATGTGGTGAGCTCTCTTCGTCATCGTGTGCTTTCTTCTTGTCTTCGTCTGATGTCTCCTCCTTTCCTTTCTGCTCACGGCGTGTGACATACGGTGTGGAGTCGGAAACGGGCAACAAAGTAGATGTATCCGAGGAGGAGGATACAGGGACATTAATGGAGTTGATTTCCTCAGGAGTGTGGATCATAGCAGTAGCGACTGTCGGAATATTCTGGTGCTGCCAAGTTATGGCCCCCGTCGAACGACTGCTGAGTGCTTTTCGGTCATTGGGTAAGTTTGCGCTGTATAAAGTTTCTACCCCCTCCGGGATAATTACAATCAAGGATGTCCCGACCAAAACTCCCATGCCAAGGGACGATATCAGTCGCAACTGGGAGGAAGAAAGCGTGAATGCAAGTGGTAACGAGCCCACAACAAAGGATCTATGCGAGATGGGCCTGTTAGTCCGCAAAAATTCACATAGTGGGGTAATCAATGAAAATAGACTCACGTAATTGCCATCACAATGCTCAATGCGAGCAAAGTAAAAAGTCCCTCCATGATCGGCCTCGTTTTTTTTTTTTTTCCAGAGCTGTCTCCGATTCTCTAGAGGACTTCAATCATGATGCCTATTGCGGAATAACTAGGAACTTGTTGTTTCCCGCACACACCCTTTCTAATGCCCTTGCTCGGCCAATGTGTGGTATGGCAGTACTGGCAACACGATGCGGCGTAGAAATTGGAGAATAGGAAGAACCGGCGCAACGAACAATCCTTCGGAGATGGCGTCAAGGTCGGACTGAAGACGTGGCGTGTGGTTGGAGAGATTGCGATCCGCCGTAGTTGGAAAAGGATCGGAACCGCCCCAGCGACGGGAGGACCCACAGCACCAGGGGACTGACCGGAATCAAGTGAAATAAATAGATTGAATGTAAAACAACAAGTGGATAATATACCGAAAATCGAGAGGTAGCTTCTCCTGAGCTTGTTTCTATACAAGTTCCTACAGGGCTCATGGGCTCCTGCCGAGAATATTCTTAACTCCGATACATTGATTCTTCTGTCTTCTTTTTTTTTTTTTTTTTTTTTTTTTTATTGCCCTTTAAGATAATGGAACCC